GTCCCATTGCAAACTCCAAAAAGCACCACCAAACCATAACAGACCTGCCTCCATGTTTGACAGTGGGCAAAGTCTACTTGGGGTTCAATCTTTGTCTACTACGACGTCTAAAGTGATGAACACCATCTGATCCAAACATATTGAACTTGGATTCATACCCTCTTCCAGTCACATATGCTCCAATCAAGATGCAACCGTGCAAATTGTAATTGGTCTTACTGCTTTTCCTCGAGATTAGCGGCTTCTTACTTGGGCGACGTGCAAATAACTTCAAATCATTTAATCTTCTACTTATAGTTTTCGTAGAAACACTGACATTTCCTTTTGTCTCGATTTCGCCTTTTATTTGTCCGAAGTATACTATATACCGGTTTCAAGTTGGCTCAAATTTGACTGCAAGTCAACCCTTTGTTGTCTTTGTAGTGTTAATAACAATATCTTTCTGTCGGTGCAATCATATGCTTTAGACAAGTTCAGCGAAAACCAACTATTAGGTTTGCCTCCTCTAATTGCCATATTTCATAGTGGGTGAATAATGCTACTCATTTGGCTGCAGATTGCTGCACAGACTTATAACATGGAGTAAACTTATGTGTTATTTTACCTGCTGAATTTGTCTACTTGGCCAAAAAATCTAGATATATGTCTGATTTATTGTTCCCATCCAAATCTACATAGCAAATGGATCTTCCTCAGATTAGTCTGATCTAAATAAACAAATGATTGAGGTTTACCACACTCACCATGAAATAATAGTAATAAATATCATTAACAATAAATTTATTCACATATAAACTGTTACATTGTATTCGACATATAGGTATGTGCAAATAAACTGAAAAACTCCCACAGAAGAATTTAATTTTTGTGTCTGGAAAAACTTTATGCAATTCTTGCCTTACTATACTTGATACATACATTTAGTCACGGCATATAAACATAGTTTTTATTTATATTAATTATGAAGTAAATGGATCTGAGCAGTCTGGTGTATACAGGGTGTAAACGTTATGATAGTCATTATTTAAATGGGAGATAGAGGGGGTTGAAGGAACAAAGGGTTTCATATAACATGAGGGTCAAAACGGCATTTTTTTAGAGAAAATCGACTTTAAAGTAAAATAAAACCTGGTGTGTGAAAGTTTATTGAACGTATTAAAAAATCCACTTATAAATAGGGAACACAATTTTGATACATATGTACATTGTTTTTCTTTTTAAAACCCACACTCTACTTTTTTGTATTCAAAGAAGGTGTTCAAAATGTCGTCCTACACTTTCCACACAAGCTTCATTACGACGAACCCAGTTTCTTCTTACTAGTCCTCGAAGTTGTCCATTTATTATTTCAGCCGCATTAACATTTTTTTCGCGAAGTTGTGCTCCAGTTGTTATTGGACCAGCCCCATAAACCATCCCTTTAAGTTCTCCCCAATACCAGAAATCCATCGGATTGAGGTCAAGAGATCTTGCTGGCCATTTTCGAGGATCATGAGCATTTCGACCGATCCAGCGATTTGGATAATGTTCATTCAAATACAATAACTAACCACTGTTACCGTTTGCGATCGATTGCCGGTTCGATAAGAGTGATGAATGACCGACGCGCTGTTGTCATATGTGTTTTAAATATTTAATTTAATGATACTTACTACAAATTTTGGCTTAACTTAGAAAAACTTAATGCCACTTATTTGTTATTTACCCAATTTAAAAACCTTTTAGATTAGACTATAAAAATTAGTAAGATTGTGGTCGATTGTTGTAGTTGTAAACTATAAAGCCATTTAGACAAAAATCTATTGACACTTTCAATAATGACTACAATAACGTTTACACCCTGTATATTCTAAACACACTACTTGTCATGATGTGGACTAGTATCCTTCCCCTCTATTTTGGCAGATTCAAAACGTCAAAATAAAATAAATCTTACATGGAGTAAATATGCTATATGCTTATGTCGAACTATCAGCAAAATCATTGGTCATAATATTCTACTTGAAGATAGACCTAGTACTGTATTTCGGCGACCAAAAAAATGATTTGAGATGAAATGAGGTATCCTGGTGTCGCCTACATTAAAAAAAAACACAAAACTGAAAGGTCATTATCATAACTATGAAACTAGAGGCAGTACAGATTTTCATCAGAAAAATTGTAATAGTGGCATAACTAGCAAATCAGTATTTCAAAAGGGAGTATTTTAATTTAATAAATTGAAGAATGATATTAAACAGTGTTCTAATTTAAGAATGTTTAAGGTGAAATTAAAATGAATATCCAAAATGCCTAGCAACGTAATTTTAATAGACAAGAATGCAAAATTAAAGAAAACTGAATAAAAAAATGTGTAAAAAAATAATTATACAAAATTAACATAAATAAATCTTCAACAAACAGTGCGATCTTTTCAACGTAGATTTCTAATTATTTTGGAGAGAAGACGCCAAAAAATCTCAATTCATCTCAGATAATTTTTGGATGCCAGAATACAGTATGTGGTTGGATATCTTTCACGTCAATCAATGTATTCATTCTTAAGTTTTTGTTGAGTACATAGATACTTTTTCCTTCCTTTTTTTATGAGAGATAGTTCGTTTGATATTTTAAAGACTTATTCGAGCTCATATTCTGATATGCTTTTTCAAGTAAAATTCATTGATTATGTTGGCAGCTACAAGCTAGTGCTCTGTGAAGCATGACTAGCATAGTTTGGTAAATGTCTCTGATCGGACCATGTTGAAAATTTTGAAAACTGATTGCCAGAAGTCACATATTGTCGGACATCTGACAATACCTGCTATATGCAGGAACCGTAATTTTACAGGGGACGGAAAAAAACCTTATCAATTTTATACTACCGGTCTTAAGACTCTACAACTTTGGTCACAAAAATAAATGACGTTTGACACATAATTAATGCGATTTTATCGAAATGAAGCTCTGATTGACAAAATTAGTGCAGATAGCTGATATTTCTGCTAACTTCCTTTGCAGTTAGCAGATATTGTACTATGATGCATAGATGGATTTAGTGAGCTTCGTGTTAGAAAAACTGGTATCAATCCAGTATTACGACTATTCCGTCAGGAGTTCCGCAAGGCTCAATTTTGGGACCTGTGCTCTTTTTGATTTACACGTGTGGCCTGCATAAAGCAGTTGACAATTCAGGGATACAAACATTTGCTGACGATACTCAAATAATATTCCATTTCGACGCCTCAGATACGCAAAATTCATCAGACATTTTACAGCTTGATTTAGATAAGGTACATCAGTTTTCTATGGAACATAATCTTGCTATTAATCCAGATAAGACACAAGTGCTATTGTTTTGTTCTGATCAGAAGAGGAAAACTGTCGAAGATTCTTTCCATCTGACTATTGATGGCATAACATTACAGCATACTCAAACAGCTAAGGTACTAGGAGTGGAAATTGACACAAAATTAAGATTCCGCAGCCAAATAGCTAATTTGATGAAAAAAACTTACCTGTGTTCTAGGGCTCTTTATTCCAATCGCTACTTGCTTAACTTTAAGCTGAGAAAAAAACTGTGCGAATCTTTGGTGATGTCAATGCTCAGTTACTGTGATGTCGTTTATTATCCATGTTTGGATCAATTGACCAAAAATCGTCTTCAAATCATCCAAAATAACTGTGTTCGCTTTATTTGTGGGTTGCGTAAATACGATAACGTAAGTGATAAATATAGGGAATTGAACTGGCTTAGGTTAGGAAGTTTGGTTAAACATAAATTCTTAGTTTTAGTTCATAAAATAATATTGTCATCAAAGCCTGAATATCTAAGAGCTGAGTTAAGATTTAATTACGAAGTGCATGACAGTGCTGTTAGGAATCGTTATAGCATCAGAACCACCCCACACACTTCTGCATTATTCCAACGAGGATTTACATATAATGCAGCACTATTTTATAATCAGTTGGACAACAGTATTAAATTGATGTCTTTGGAAAGTTTTCGTAAACATACTAAAAGCATGTTGCTCGCTATTGATTAAATAAGCATTTCTGCTACAGATATAGATTGTGTCTATTTGTATTTTATACTTAGGTATATATGTGTTCTTTTTTTCATTGTTCTTATATTTTTTCCATGTTTTGAACATCAGATGTAACCGACATAAACAGTTAAGTGTAAGAGTAGCCTTGGCCCCTCCGGGTTATCCAATAAAGACGTTATTATTATTATATCAAATTTAAAGTTTAAAGCTTTTACAAATCAAAAAGATAATAGCATGTATTCTCATTTACACCTTAAATGAACGTTTAGCTTCATTCCTTGACATATGGCAAATTATCGTAAAACATGTGACAGTCCTTAGATATAACACTTATAATCTGAAATGACGGGTAGCTGTTTTGGTCTCATAGGCAACTCCTGAGGCTCTACACTGACGTCTAGTTTCACTTCAATTTTTCCATCGGGATTATAACATAGAACTTTCATGTCCGTGACTACATTGTCCCTGTCTGGTCTAATTGTTGAGTATCGCTGCACCTCTGTTCGAGAGTAGTCCTTGAAGAAGTCGTAACTCAATTGGATCACCTCATATGGCTCTCGTTTTGTCCTAGCTCCATTTGACGCCTTAACATAGTCATTTGGTAATTCAATAACTCTATTTCTCAGTTTTTTTTATTGTTTTTTTGCTGAATAATTGAAAAACTAATTTTTCTGCAGTTAGCGGACTCTGTCACAATGTGCGCTGTAGGTAGACGAAGAAAAATGTGCCTATACCTCAAATTGGGCAAAAATAAAGATGTCCGACGATATGCTGACTTGTGCTTTGAATTTCGAAAAACATTCTAAGCGGCATTTTGTTAGTTACCTGCACCTTTGCTCCTATTTAAGCGACTTTGTATCTCTTACCCTTTGCGAGATTCCAATGGCGAGGACGGAATTCGAACCACCCGGTATATCCGTCAGGGTCATCCTTAAATGTCTAAAAAGTACAACTAGTTCCAAGCAGTAGAATCAAGGAACGCTGGAAATATGAGGATATCTCTCATATTTACCTGTTTTTTTTTGTCGTTTTTGCACACAAGAATTCTCCCACATAAGTCGAAGGTATAATACCTACCATTCTTTATTTGATAGGTTGCAAATCTGTTGACGAGATTTAAAAATTGTCTTAAACGTTTCGTTTTATCACTATTTTTTGTGTTTTAGTGATAATTGTGATTTTTGATATTCGTACTAATATTTTGACGTATCTTATTGTCTGTATCTATCTGTTCAAGAAAATTGATATTGAAATCGCGTCCACGTGCTTAGTTTTCCGTGTATTTTAAATTATAAAACCGGTAGTTTTCATTACGTAGTGAATTTTCGAGAGAATCTTATGGTGAAAATGAAAAGCCTTAAAAAACCCTACAGGAGTAAGACAACATCTCCTGTGTGCCATTTTTCACCCAATATGGTGTTAAACAATAGAAAAAAACTGCAGAAGCCTAGAGTTAAAAGAGTTTCCTGGAGTAAGTGCTTACATAATTTTATCTATTTCGATAATTTTTTTGTATCACTTTCCATAATATCAGATCTTTTTATATTGCAACCCTACAAAAAAATTAGGTTCAAATTTGGAATACTGCAATAATAATTACCTTATTATGGGAAAAGTGATATAATAACGGGTGTTTTCAGTGGGTTTACACTAAGTATAATGAAACAAATAAATCCTCAAACAGGTTATAACTTTAATACTATATTGGATTTTGGGCATCAGCTGGATCAAGGAAAGCTGATGCGGAAAACTCTAGAAGACCAGTTTTCGATCGCCTTGTATGCCACAGTACGTTTATGTTTATTCATTTCAATTTGAGAGCGAAAAAGTCATTAATAATATACTAAGTGACATATAAATCCGAACACCCAGTTTAAATGGTTTTATTTTAATAAAAGTTGGTGAATGTATTTATCTTACTGTAAATAACAAGTGAAAAAATGTTCAGCCTTATCAGTTGGACATTCCGGTTTTTATACTGCTTTTTTTTTAATTCACTAACGCTCTAAAAATGAATATTTCAGCCGCAGTAAAGAATCAACGTTGGCGGATTTTGGTTCTTGACATCCTTTACGATCGGTTACGATGCCTAGAGTACGGAGACCTGTACGATTTCGTCAACTTAGTGAGTTTGATAGGGGCCGTATAGTGGGACTTCGGGAAGCTGGACTTTCTTTTCGGGCAATTGCAGTTAGGGTGCAAAGAAGTGTAGACACTGTGGTTAGGTGTTGTCAGGCATGGCTTCGAGAAGGCCGTACGCAAAGAGCAAGGGGCACTGGACGCCGCCGTAGAACAACAGACCGTGAAGATCGCCGCCTAAGATTATTGGCCTTGAGGGACCGTTTCTCCACTACCAGGTCCATTGCAAATGAATGGTTTGCAGAACACGGAAGACCTATTGGCATGCGAAGTGTTTACCGACGAATGAGAAGTTTTGGCTTGTTTTCATACCGGCCACACTGGGTCCTCCCTTTAATTCGCGAACATCGACGTAATCGCCTTGAGTGGCGTAGACAACGGTCACTCTGGGATCAGGAATGGAACAGTATTGTCTTTAGTGACGAGTCTCGATTTTGTTTAGGCATGCACGATGGTCGTGCCAGGGTGGTGAAAGGAGGAAATCCACAGTTTTTTGTTGAAAGACATGTTCATCACACTGTTGGAGTTATGGTTTGGGGTGCTATAGCTTATGGTTCCAGGTCACCTTTAATCTTCATCAGAGGCAACATGAACGCGCAGCGTTATATCCACGAAGTTCTAGAACCCCATCTTTTACCCTATCTTGACACCCTGGCAGATCCAACTTTCCAACAAGATAATGCCCGAGACCACATGTTGCAAGTGTCACAATAGACTTTTTTCAACATAATGATGTCACATTGTTACCATGGCCACCAAGATCTCCCGACTTATCCCCAATTGAGCACGTGTGGGATATGATGGGTAGGAGATTGCTCAATTTGCAACGTCCTCCTCAGACTCTAGAAGCACTTCGAGAGGAGTTGGTGGTTGCCTGGAATGAGATACTACAGGAGGACATTGACCACCTGATCAGAAGCATGTCTAGGCGCGTTGGAAAATCCGTAGCACATCAGGGTGCATCCACACATTATTAAAGGTCAAAGGGCTTTAAAGCAGTGCAATCATTTTGAAATTTTTATCATTTACTTATTATGCTTCATTAAGTACTTATACAAAATTTTATTAAAATAAAACCATTTAAACTGGGTGGTCGGATTTATATGTCACTTAGTATACATCTATAGTCCTCCCCATCATATTGACAGGCAGGCAGGCATCACTTTAAGGAAATATGGGCCACTTAATGATTTCGCTTCTGAACGAACCTGAACATTTAAACGGATATCAAAAAATTAAGACGTACTTGGCGAAAAAGTTATAATTTCAGCCTCCGAATATATTTAAAAAACAATCATTCATGTTGTGTCACAAGCTTAAAATCCCATGTTGGGAGGATATTGGATATCTTGCTGAGCCCCCATATTACATTTCTTACGGAATACATAATATATGTTCATATAAAAATCTGAAAAACCTAGAAAATCGGATTTGACTATGCTTAAGGTAAGGTACAAGAACTTTAGTGCGTGCTAGTTTAGTTAAATATTGTCTTCTATATTGGATGACATTAAAAATGAATCTTTCGTACCCTAGCAACTTGTTGGGTCTCCCTTTTGTATGATCAACTTTCTTCAAAGTAAAAAAAAAACGTTTCGTCGAAAACGTAGCAATCGGCTGCCTTTTATCCAAAAACGCTGAGTATGAATGGATGAATAAAGAAATAGAAGCATACTGGCCGCCAAACTGTGAGTAAACCAGATGTAACTTGTTCAGACTACAATCATCCATAAAGCGTATATTCAGAACTTGTCCATTGAAGAACTCGCATATAAATATTTTTGACACTTCTCTATTTTCAGGTGACTTGTAAAACGGCACACTTTAGCGATAAGTTGTTTATACTCACTCACAATATCAACAAGGACCTTTTGTTGAAATTCCATCGAAAACGTGTCCTGAACGTTGTGATTTTCCGTTTCAGAGACAACTACGTTTGCGGCAAAACAACGTCGTAAACGTAAAAAAGACATTGAAGAAAAATACTCACTACTCATTTGGTAAAGAATTTCAAGCGCTGTCCTCTCACATGTCTTGTTTGTACACACCGCTTGAAGTTGTCGCTGTTCGATTCAAAAACTCGAGATTGCTTAACTCTTCCTTTTGCAACATTTGGGGCTGTCTAGGTCTTCAATTGTATCCAACCAGACGGCTTTTTCACAATATAAACAAACATAATGCAGCACTGGCGTAAAAAACATCGATGACTACGGCGACGTCTGAGTACGGTCAATAGGATCCTGAAGATGTTCATATAAAATCGATATACCATGTTTTGGTCAATAAAGGCGCTTATTATTATTATACAATATTATTACTACGTTATTGCTCTAGGAATGTGCCAATTTCGGCTTTTCAAATGAGGTTTGTTTATAAACTAACCTAACCTAGACACCGCGCGACGCCTGATTTGGATCCTGACTCGCAAATTCTTAGTACATCATACATTTTGACGTAAGAAGGGATTGTGGGGGGAGAGAGTGGCAGGGTCGTACTAGTTGATTTATTGCTTTTTGGAACCTAATGTAAAGTTACAACTTTGAGAACAGGTATAGGGTGAAATTTATTGCAGTTTAGGTCTCTATGACGCCTTGGACGAGATACTAATAAACACGTTACTTTATCAGCAACATAGCAACGCCTTCCTTAGGTTGACATCTGGTTTTCTCTCTGTTCCAGGAGACCAACAAATGGACGGCGTTAGCTTGACCTCGGAGGTAGGCTCGATGGGTTCCGGGGGCGGCGGCGGCCCCCTGCAGGACCCCGCCATCCTGATGGTGCGCGAAACGACCACCGCCAACAAGAGCATCATCAGGTATTCGCGCGAGCAGCTGCTCAAGCTTAGAGATGTGCCGGCGGCCAAGAAGAGGCCGGATTTCCTTAACACCAATGATACGTAAGTTAAATAATCCGACCACTCTAGGTCGAGATTCAAACAGGGATATACATATTTTACATACAGTATCATCGTAAATTAACTTACGAACTTCAAGGGGCCAATATCTCTTCGCAAAATTCGCCATAGTGTGGTCTGAGCGATGCCCAATTCTTGAGAACGCCGTGGACTCAATTTTTTTATCACACTTTGAGAAAATTGCTCGTCTACTGAGTCGAGAATTACGACCAAAAATTGGCGATAACGCTCTTAAAGTTGCAGTCACCGACTCGGAATTTCGGTAGTAAATTTTAATTATTTGTACGCCTTGTTCGTTCGTGACAGCTCGGTAATTGATTTAAAGATACGTTCACAGTGAAAGTTCAAAGTTGTCAAGTCCCTATTGGAAAACCCCATACACATTTTTGATACAGAAAAATAACGAAAATGGGTTATTTCAAAGTTTACGATTGCCATATTTAAGAGAAAAAAAATCAGTACGAATAGATAAAAATAAAATACATAAATCACGATTTCGTCGAAAAAAGTTTAGATTTTTTATTTTTTTAAAAAATCTTAATTCTTCGCAACACTAGCTCAACTTAAATCATTGTAAAGAGGAAGCCTCGCAGATTCCGACCACTAAACAAATTCCACTAGCTCACATGATGTCGTACATAGCTTCTTGTTCCTTTGAGTATGGAAACACTGGCTAAGGATAAGTTCCAAAATTTGATACGATTCTCATTTACAGGAGTTCGCTGCCCATCTTCGATCCGGATCGTTGGAACTTCGATAAGCGCAAACCGTCAAGTGGTAACAACACCGCCCCTTCGGAAGGGGAAGGGGCGGATTCCCAGCAGCGGGGGACCATCGCCAACCGTCGCTCGACTGCCGATCCTCGCGAACGATTGCGCAAGGAGTGCGTCGGAGGTAACTTAGTTTTTTTAGATTTAATATGTTTTTAATACGAAATGCCAAACAAATAAGTACGACAACCAAACTATTTGCTGCTGTGGACCATCCTAGAATCTCAATTTATCGAACATTTGCCGTAGATTTACACACAACATAAGACACTCGCCCAACTTCAGTTTGTTGACCTTTTAAGCATCGAAGACAACGTAAAACGTCCTAGGATCTAGTAGTTTTAATTAATGTGGCAACCATGTGCGGCACTGTCATTATTTGACTTGTGACGTAACTGCTTTGATTCAGAGAATATACTGTATAGCATATTTGCTAGATACTGCTCGCAAAAACGATATGAACTAATACTGTGAAGATATCCAGCATAAGAAACAGCCCAGCAGTTCTATGCGAAACTCAAAAATGTATTTTACATAACTGTATTTATATTGTTGGCGTAGGTGGAGGAGATGGTATCGTTTTGAGTCCTCAACGTCGTAGTTTCAACTCTGGCTGCTTCGTACCCGCTGGTCGTCAGGGAACTACATCAAATACCAGTCAAGGAGCGGGTCAAGGAGGCGGTCAAAGTGGCAGGTCCCATAGTCCAGTAGGTGGAAAGGGGGCTGGGGACGGCCATCTCGGTGAGTTGTAATTTTGTCTACGAAATGTGAAATTCATTGCATATGAAATAGCTATTTTCAAGTAGTTTGTAATTTAAATATGCATTTATTGTACCATTAAGGAGTACATCGTAGCTGTTCCAATAAATCTAGCTTACAACAGAAGTTTAAGGAAATTGCATTGCTCATATTATGTACAGTAGCGGACAAAAGTTTGGAAACATACTTAGTTATTTTTAAGAAGTGTGCAACTTTTTTATTCTTTATTATTAAGGACTATTTTTTTCTCATATGGTTTGCTTACAAATGGCAAGTTGTGTTTGCTGTGGTACTACAGACTAGCATTAAAATACCTTCATATTATTTTATGACCTAAAATTAAATAGAATAACTGTACAAAAAGATACAAAAAATACTGTGTACCTAATATTTGGTAGCATAGCTTTTAGCATTCAACACTGCCTGACATCTGCTGCTCATAGAAGACACCATTTTTTTACAGACGTCTTTTGGGATATTTTGCCAGATATTTCTTACATTATCAGATAAATCGTTTCTATTTTCAAAAGTTTTTCTTGTCAGTTGTCTTTTAACATGCTCCCAGAGGTGTTCTATATGGTTTAGGTCCGGGGATTGCGAAGGCCACGTAACATTAACATTTTTTGGTCTTAACCTGTCCTTTACTAATTTTGAGTTATGCTTGGGGTAATTATCTCGTTGGAATGTCCATCGTAAAGGCATTTCTTTTTCAGCAAAAGGGAGCATGTGTTCACTAGGAATATCTTTCTAAAATTTTTGATCCATTTTCCCAACAATTTTAACAATTGGACCCGTTCCAGTACTAAAAAACCGTGCTTAACTGTTGTCAACTGATACTTTTTGTCGAATCTTTTTCGTATTGGAAGTCTCCGTACCGTCAGATCCAAACAAATAAATTTGCTTTCATCGCTCCATAAAATTCAAGCTGAGCAATACGATTTTTTTTAAAATGACAGGCTTTTGCACTATACGCGTACCAAAAAGCCCAAAATCTACCAAGCGTCTCTGCACTATTCTGACATAAAGATTCTCGGCACCCTCTTCAACGATTCTTTGAAAATGTGGCGGGCATTCGATGATCTTCATGGGACAAACGTTTAATGTAGCGATCCAAAACATAATCGGTTTTTTTCGGTCTTCCGCTCCTGGGCCGCGTTGCTTTTGATCCGTACCTATTCTTGATATTTACAAATAATTTTCGAAATCGTCCCTTTGTTTATTTTTAATCTTTGATAAATGTCAAGATTTCTGACACCCCTTCTAAATAATTCAATTACTTTGTCTCATAAATCTTTTGAAAACTCTTTTACTTTTGCCATTCTCACTGATGTTAATATCTACCGCACGCAATGTCAGAGTATCGCAGAACGAATAAATACGGCAGAACTGAAATGTAACCATACTTTTGTCGTTACAAAATCCGTATTTAAAAAACGCGTTTTTATTTTCAGAGAATTTGAATATTGATAAGATACACCTTGTATTAGTACGGGTGGACTTTGATATTTATATCATCTGTTCCTTCACAATTTTACTTTAGGTATATGAAATAGTTCATAACAACGTTAATATTTGTTTCCAAACTTTTGTCCGCTACTGTATATAGGAAATGTCGAGGGAGGCTTGCAACAACGCACATTTTGTTGCAGGTTTGCGGGAGATCCAGACGGGCGCTCCACCATCTGGCGGCAATCGACGTATAGGTAGTGGTCGCATTTTACGGGACTCCTCCTGGGACTATCCCGATAAGCAGCAGTCGGACGCTGGAGACGACTACGTCGCCTCCTCGAAGTACGAAAGGCGCAGCTTTGGCGGCGGCTTTGACAGGGACCGCGATAGGGACAACACTAAGGACAGGCGGAACAACGGAAGGTGCGTTGAAATTACATAGCATTTACGAAGACTCCGACCGGTTAAGAAACATTGGGAAAGACCAACAGAGTAATGAGGGAGCCGATAAGTGCTGATCTATCTCTCATCGCATCTGAACCAGTGTATGGCATGTATAGCGTTGTACGAGCCACTGACTCTCATTGAGAGGTGGGACAAGCAGTGTTGCCCAACCAAAACAGACGTAATCGGTGATAGTGTTGTTGGTATTCGGTAGATTCAAGGATAAAATCGATAGGAGGAAACAATTCCCTGATTGTCGTCGCAATATAATCGACCAAGGGCTTTTACGTCACGCAGCGCCGTCTAAGAAATGAGTTAATTTCTGTATTCCGCGCGTATGCACACATTTATATGTCACTTAGTATACACCTCTTATTGTCACTGGCGAGCGTTATCGTCATATGGACGTATTTTACTTAATTTCACAAATATTCAAGCTACAAATGAGTCAGTTACTTATCGGCCAGCCCGTACTTGTCGGTCGAATCACATGTGACCCGAGATTAAAATACCAAGTCTCAGTAGTGTGGCTTCATGGATCAGTTGAACTTGATTCACCCTATATCTAACTTGACCTTTTCTTCAAGGTATGGAAGAAAGATATCTGAGACTAGGGAAATGGAAGAGCCTGAATGGTTCTCGAGTGGCCCTATGTCTCAAAACGATACCATCGAGCTGCGAGGTTTTGAGGACGAGAAGCCTGTGACCAAGAAAAAAGTGCCTCCGTCAAGTTTAAAACGCCTGGAGAAGTGGTCAAAAAAGAAAGATAGTCAGCAGGAAACTATCGATGAAAACGAAAGCGTCTCTTCTGCGTTGCAGGTATGGACTATCAAAAAACTATCAACCTGTTTTGCGAAATTTGGGTAATGCATATAATCAGTGTCTTCTCAAAAATCTTCTTTTTATCTCAGTGATGATAGGGTCAAAATGACGGATGGAGCAATCAGAAGAAATTTAACTGGAATATACACGGTGTCCCAGAAGTCGACGTCAAGCCGAAACCGGGTGATAGGCAAAGTCAAAACAGCTATCAGAAAAATATTTAAAAAAATTTATGTATGCGTTTTGAAAATTATAGGTCTTTGAAAAAGATATAGAAATTTCACACCCTACGGCAGTCTGTCAACTCCTGTTACTACAAATATTAACTTTTTTTGGATTTTATTTTTACAATGTAATGATGAATAATGCATCTTCAAACTGGTGTCTCAACCTTACTGCCAACTTTTCTCGTTGAGGAAAAATTGCCACTTATTTCCCAACCAAGTATTCCAAAGTAAAACTTTGCTCAACTTTAACTGGCTGTACTGGAAAAAATGTACTACGAGAGTTTGGCAAGTAACCTTAAAAGTTGGCGCATTTAATAGCGATTCCAAAATGGTATAACACTTAGAAGATTACTCGTTAACTTGTGCACAATTTTTATTTGAAAAAAAACTGATGAAAATTTTTCAAAATTTCCTAATTAAACAGCGATTATGAAAACGCACAAGGACCCTTAAGGATAACTGTTTGCACAACAGTGGGCGTCAAAATGCTGCTGATGATGATTTACCTTTACAGCAAATGCTTAAACTGTGTTCCTTCAGCCGCAATACACGCTCGACATCTTCTTAAAAAAGATCGGGGTATTAAACGAGCGAATCCACGGTTAATAACAAACTCAGCTGCTTCCAGTAGTCTTTGCCGTAGCTCAGCTACATTTTGAATCGGCTTGAAATACACTTTTTCTTTTACAGTTCCCCAGTAAAAAAATCTAAAGCATTCAAATCAGGTGATCGGGCTGGCCACGGTATTGTACCAGACCGCCTTATCCATCTGCCTGGAAAGTTTTGATCGAGATACTCTCTCACTGAGAGTGCATAGTGCGCTGGGCAGCCATCATGCTGAAACCACATGTCCCTGTAAATACTCAGTGGCACGTACACCAATAAATTTTGTACATGATTTTTAAAAAAATCCAAATAAACTTCAGCAGTCAAAGTCTCTGGGAACTCAAACGGACCGATTATTTTACCATTTAAAATGCCTGTCCAATGGTTTATCTTGAAGCGATATTGAGATTTATCTTCTCTCATCAAATGTGGGTTTGCTACGTGCCACTCGTGTAAGTTATGCAGGTTCATGTACCCATCTTTCTTAAATGTGGTCTCATCGGACCATAAAATTTTTTCAAAGAACTGTGGATCTTTCCTGTGTCTTTCTAACATTGAGCGACAAAAAGCAACTCGGGGCTCATAATCCCGAGGCAGGAGAGGTTGAACACGCTGTATGTGGTATGGATGGAGCACGTAAAAGAAAAAGTGTATTTCAAGCCGATTCAAAATGTAGCTGAGCTACGGCAAAGACTATTGGAAGCAGCTGAGTTTGTTAATAACCGTGGATTCGCTCGTTTAATAACCCGATCTTTTTTAAGAAGATGTCGAGCGTGTATTGCGGCTGAAGGAAAACAGTTTAAGCATTTGCTGTAAAGGTAAATCATCATCAGCAGCATTTTGACGCCCACTGTTGTGCAAACAGTTATCCTTAAGGGTCCTTGTGCGTTTTCATAATCGCTGTTTAATTAGGAAATTTTGAAAAATTTTCATCAGTTTTTTTTCAAATAAAAATTGTGCATAAGTTTACGAGCAATCTTCTAAGTGTTATACCATTTTGGAATCCTTATTAAATGCGGCAACTTTTAAGGTTACTTGCCAAACTCTCGTAGTACATTTTTTCCAGTACAAAGTTTTACTTTGGAATACTTGGTTGGGAAATAAGTGGCAATTTTTCCTGAACGAGAAAAGTTGGCAGGTTGAGACACGAGTTTAAAGATGCATTATTCATCATTACATTGTAAAAATGAAATCCAAAAAAAGTTAATATTTGTAGTAACAGGAGTTGACAGACTGCCGTAGGGTGTGAAATTTCTATATTTTTTTCAAAGACCTATAATTTTCAAAACGCATACATAAAATTTTTTTAAATATTTTTCTGATAGCTGTTATGACTTTGCCTATCACCCGGTTTCGGCTTGACGTCGACTTCTGGGACACCCTGTATAACCTTTATCCGTAGTTTAAAAGTTTTTAATGTTATAGCGCAGTTCTTAAATTATATTTTTATAGATCGATAGAAATATTTTAGGACTGAAATCACAGTTCTCTAAAAGTTAAAAATCAGTACTTATTACTTTTCCGAAGGTATAAAATAATTGGGTCATGAATGAATGCTGACTTATTTTTTTTTTCAGGCCAATGCGGAAAAAGATGCGCAAAAAGATGGAAGTGAAGAGAAAGAGGTTAAACAGGCTGTGGATAGAAAAAAGGAAGATAGCGGAAAAGATGATAGTAAAGAAGGTGACAAGCACACGGTGAATAATGAACAGGGTTTCAATTTCGATGATATACTTGAGTGTCAATCCATTGCTGGGTTACTGCCTGTAAGTATAGATCAAAAATCATTGATAAGTGCTTGCATAAACATATATTAAGTTTCTTGAATCGTTCTAATATTTTGTCAAATAGCCAGCATGGATTTAGAGCTCTATAGAAATGGCGACCTTTGACTTTTTTCTTATTTATATTTATATGAGGATATAGATAGAAGTAGGTATTTTGTTGGACTGTTCTTTGATCTATCGAAAGCCTTTGATATGATGGATATTCCATTTCTCGTGCAAAAATTATACAGCATGGGTGTTAAGGGTTCCATCCTCGATTGTATCTAGAAAACTAAAGGCCAACGTCATTGGTCGTATGACAACCCTATACAGGGTGATTCGCAAGTCGTGACCAAAAATGAAACAGGACCGCATTTTAAGGGGGTCTTCTATGTAACATTTTTTCTTCGAGGGTTGGTTTAACAATAAAAAACCATTATTTTTAACATCTTCAAAATTGTCAACTGGAATGTGGATATACCTAAGTATTGTCCATAACTATTGAAAAACCCTTTACAATGATATGAGTTATTTATTTACTCTTTCTTGCAGAATGGAGTAGGAAACGAAGCTGAGGCTCAAGCCAAGTCAAGATTCAGTCGCTGGTTCAAGCAAGATAGCCCCGAAAAGCAGTCACAACCCAACACAAATCCTAGTCGCCATTCCTCCTTACCTTCTGAGGATGATCATAACCTGATCATAAAGGCAAGTAAACAGTAGTTAGCCTAAAAATGTAATGGTAGGTAATCTGGAAAGAATTACAGGGCGCTAGTTAGGTTCTTCTCTTTTTTAATTAATTGGACAATATTATAATTGTGTAATTTTTTTTTCTTGAAATAACTCGAAATCGGGGTCCAAATTCTGTATGTAAAAGATACTTATTTTACGCAACGTTTTCGTCATTTAACGAGCACTGTAGCTCTGACCATTTTTAAATCCTTTAAAAGCTGCGGTAACCAGCTAACATTAAGCAATGTGTTGATGCACTTGTAACATACAGTAGCGGACAAAAGTTAGGAAACATTCTAAGTAGATTTTAAAAAGTGCGCTAATTTTTATTCTTTATTATTAAGGACTATTTTTTTCTCATATAGTTTGCTTACAATCTTGAGGATACTAATGACAATATGTGTTTGCTGTGGTACTACAGACTAGCATTAAAATACCTTCATATTACTTTATGACCAAAAATGAGAGGACAAAAGTATGGAAACATATTTTTTATTGCAAAATTAAATACAATAACTCTACAAAGAGATTTAAAAAAATACAGTTTAGCTAATATTTGGTAGCGTAGCATTTAGCATTCAACACTGCCTGACATCTGCTGCTCATAGAAGTTTTTTACAAACGTCTGTTGGGATATTTTGAGAAATATTTTTTACATAATCAAATAAATCGTTCCTATTTTTGAAAGTCTTTCTTGTCAGTTGTCTTTTAACATGCTCCCAGAGCTGTTCTATCGGGTTGAGGTCCGGGGATTGCGGAGGCCATGTAAGAACATTAACATTTTTTAGTCTTGAGCAGTCTTTCACGAATTTTGAGGTATGCCTAGGGTCATTATATTGTTTTTTATGGGGTTAATCGTGTCTACATCAATAAACCAAGTACACTCCGTCAACTAAAAGAAAACATCAACGGAGAGATGTCGGCGATCTCGCAGTCTTTACGCCGACGAGTATTCGAAAACTTCGGTACACGTTTAGAAGAGTGCAAAAATCGTAACGGTGGTCATTTAGATGTTATAATTTTCAATAAATGAATTCCAACTAATTAGCTTTCTTGTGAATAAACAATTTTTAAAATATGTCAAATGTTTTTTTTCATACGATTTTTTCAAATATTAACTAATTCATGGCCCGTGCGGTTTTGTGAGAAGGTTCTGTGTGCCTTGACCTTCTGTTGTCGAGCAGAGTCGAACGATTAGAAATATATGGTTATATTGTATCAAACAGGACTTGCTGAAAGACATCTCCGAACCCGCTGGCCCTCCAGGCGACTCGGAGGCATATTTCGCACCGATCTCGCCAGCGGGCAACAACTCGATGGGAGCAGGGCCGCCGTTTGGTGCGGGCCAACCTCAAGGCAGACATCCCCATCACCAACAGCAATTGGCGCCGCAACAGCAGGGACAAGGACTCAGCATCATGGATCTGCTAAGGGCTGGTGGAAACAAGGGTGCACAGCAACAACAGCATCAAGCGCAGGCGGGACATCAGGCGGCGGTTGAAATGCTCAAGCAGCCACGTAAGTTGATATTGTCCATCTTGTGTAACTGTATTTAAATAATTTATAGATGGTGTCCCAATATTCCATGGAGTACCACTTATTTTTAGACTCAAAATAAGTCGATTGGGCATGATTTACCACTATGCAAAAGTACAGGGTGCGTTATCTATTACTTTTTTTTATATTTGAAAAATCAACACGCTTTTTACTAGGTGAAATAGATTTTTTTTATTGATAAATGAAGGTTGCTTTGTGCCATTTATGTATGAAAAATAACATACATCAGTCATGTGACCACCGCGACTTCGTTTACAGGCCAACATCGGAATATCAAAATTTTCAATGACTTCTCCCAGAATAATCGGGTCTATGGCCGCAATTTCAGTCCGAATATTGCGCTTTAGGTCTTGAATTGTTCGGGGACCATTCGCATACACTTTTCCTTTCAAAAATCTCCAAAGAAAATAGTCAAGAAGTGTTGAATCGCACGATCTCGGGGGCCAACTGACATCTGAATTTCTTGAATTTGTGCGGTCTTGAAATTTCGTGTGCAATAAGGCGATTGTTTGGCGAGATGTGTGAGCCGTTGCTCCGTCTTGATGAAACCAAAGATCATCGGCACCAATACGATCCAATTGTGGCCACAAAGAGTCTGTTAACATACCGCGATAACGTTTCCCGTTGACGGTGATGGCCTTTTCTTCGGCATCTTCTAAGAAGAATGATCCAACGATTCCACCAGCCCATAATCCGCACCAAACAGTCACTTTTTCAGGATGGAGAGGTTGTTCATGATATTGGTGTATATTTTCAACGAAATACTTTCATAGCGGTTATTCATCTCCAATCGCCTCATTTTGAATCTAAAACTACATGGTACGTCTTTCGAATCGTATTTAGTGGGAATAAATTTTGAATAGTCGTATTTTCTAATCTTGTTCCAGCAATTGCGGGTAAAATTTTGAGTTTGGACGAGCTAGAAGCAAAAATAAGACAAAATGCTGAGGCTTCATCTGGAATTCCACAGAAGCACGTGCAGCAGCATCCTCCGCAGAAGCCTGATGAAGACATGACAGCGGCCTTCAAAAAACTGGTAAGTAGCATTTAAACAAATTAATGTTGAGGCTTATTTTGGTTTGCATTGTGAAGCAATATCTTGTATTAATAAGATTCGTTTTATTTTTCAGTTAGCACAAGCACAAGCTGGTGGCCATCCTGCGGCCTCCAATGGGCCTATGAACAAACCTCAGCCTATGAGTCTCCTGGAGGTAAGTAAATATTGGCGTTTTGAAGGCATACTTCATTGATATCAAAAATCGTGCATGTGCTGACAAAGCTAATTTGCTTTGAAGTTTTTACGATTATCTCCTTTTTCATGAAATTATTAATATTATTTTCGCTAGCTTCCCTTCTTTCCCAGTCCCGCAAGATGACGGCAAACAGCTGATAACCCAAGCTAAGAAAAAGGAAAGACATAAAAAAATATTCTAAGGACCCGGCCTTAAATATTGGTCACTGAAATCGGAGTGAATAAGAATAGGCATCCACATTTTTTTCACACCGCAGTAGCCGCGCAGGTAGAAGCCTAAATGCCAGGGCAACGCGGCTGTTCTGATTTTGTTAATCCGATTTTCGAACTTCCCAAGGTTAGTAGAACTGGGCGGAGGGGAACTAGGGACAAAGGAGCGGTCATTCTGGATGTACGAAGTTCGACACGGTTAGGATGGGAGCCAAAGTCTGGCGGGTCTGTCTGGCAGGCTCAACACGTACAGTGCTGTCAATAGCAAAGCCGTGGATTGGATTGATTGTACGGGAAAGGGGGGTTGCTATCTAAGAGAAACAATGTCGGAGCCAAGACCGATCCTTATAGAACACCCGCGTTGACGTTGTGGGATGAAGTGAACCCGTCAATTATAACGGATATATTGCGGCCAGGTGGTACTCCAGAAACTCGCGATTTATGCGCCTCTCCATTACCTTATAACAGAAAGCAGAGCTATAGGCGTGTAGTTGCAGAGGTCGGTGATTCTTTTATGTATGGGTATCGTTCATCCTGGCACGTAAGTGGTGGAAGGCTACTCTGCCAGAAGCTCCTTTCAATCCAGTCCAGAAAGACCGACTGCCATTGCGCATGATAAATTTTGAGTAACTTGCTTAAACCAATGTTTGTTTGCAGATGTTGAACCATTCCCAACAGCAAGACGAAGCCGCCCGGATGGCCGCTGTCCATCACCAACCACACGCCGGCGCCCATCATACGACGTCGTCGGCCGCCGCCCATCACAACCTCATGGGCGGTCCGACCAGTCCTGCCGCTCCGTCGGCGTCGTCTAACGTCAATTCGATGCATCACCTGAACGAGCTGACGCTCAAGCTGCAACAGGCGCAACAGTACCACCAACAGCAGCAGCAGAAGCAGCAGATGGAGATGTTCAATAAGCTGATCAACGCGGCTACAAGTGCTGGTATGTTTTAAGTTTGTCAGAGCTGTCCGTAGGTCCTTTGCTCTTAAAGTTTCGTAAGGTCTGGTTGCTCAGATCCCAGACAAAGTCGGGGAGAAATTAGGAAAGAAGAAAGGAGGTGGAGCAGAGGGTAGAAAGTGTGTTACTTTAGCGTCTTGGCATTGTTTATTAGTATTCGGGAATTTTAAGTTTATTCTAAAATTAATATAGAGATTGGTTGTTGTAATTTTGTCCTGAAATCGCACGATTTAATTTTGTTCACAGTGTGAGCCGCCGTATTGTGCCCTTGCTCGATTGTTCACTGATTCGCGCAACAAACGGTTGCTGAGACTATAATGTAGCTGCGCTTGTTTGATGTAGTCCCTTAGATAATGGATTTCAAGGTCTCTGTGAAGGGTCTCATTGGAGACATACCATTGAGCGTTAGCGATTCTACGCAAGGTTCTGTTCCGCGAAACCTGCCGAGAAAACACCAAGTCGCACAGGCGCAAGTGATTACTGATCTACCACCGACCTGCGTCTTCTTAAAAATTGTCATTTTTTCGTCTTAAATCGGATATTTTGTACCTCATGTCTTAAACATCCCCAGTAAAAAATCCAAAGGGTTCAGGTCTGGGGAGCGTGGGAGTCACAAAATTGGTCCTAGACAGTCAATCCATCTTCTAGGAAATGTTTCATGAAGATACCTCCTTACTGCACTAGCATAGTGTGCAGGGCCCCATCTTTCTGTAATCGCATCCTTCTTGTCTTAAGAGGCACATCTTCCAAAATAATGGGAAGAAGATGTTGCAAAAAATCTAAGTAAATGTAAGTTTTTAAGATCATTTGCCGATTCAGTCTGGTACATTTTTTTTTCACAGTAATTGGTCAAACTTTAGTAAAGGTTTTCACATTGAAACAAAATGTAATATTTTTTTTATCATACCTTGCTAGTTTTCAATGAAATGAATACTCGGATGTCCCAACCAACTATTAATGGTAGCCCAGGAAAAAACATAAGTTAGAAGTTCTTTATAGCCATAACAGGCAAAAATGGAGCAAAAAGTAGGCATTTTTTTGAAAAAGCTTAAAAGTGGCAAAAACTACTACTTTTACTAAGGTCATGTTGATTTTATCTGATTGATCTGCAGTCAATCTACCTCCCGTGTCACTACGGCGTGTTTTTTCTGGGACACACCGTATATGACAAAAGATAGATAACAATTGATTTTGACGGATTCCTGACGTTGTGTCCTTTCATTGTTGCAGGCCAAGTGAGACTTTCGCCGCTACAACATGAACTAGGACTACAACAAAGCAGGGAATTGTTGAATCGACCCGAGGCACAGGCTATTTTACAAGGTGAGCTGCGAAATGTTTGCTTTTTGATAGGGCTATGTGTCAAATTTTTCAAAATACGAACTTATTTCAATTCAATACGGATGTATACAAGAAACGGTTTCACGGTGAATGCTTTTTTATATTGAAGTTGTCAACAACCCAAAAGGTCCAAGGCTTAAATTCTGCGGGCTTATAACAGTGTTCTTGAATTAACCCTACTGAGCAGGGCCGTGGCAAAAGCTTGTTCCGAAAATTCTAACAGTTAGTATGCAACTTCTTTCCATTCAAGCAATCGCACAAGTGTCAAGGAATAACTGCGTACCGATTGCCGGGTGGCGGCAGCTTTTTCAACACTCCACGTATTGTTGTGAAACTTTGAATTTAAGTTTACTAAATAGTGAGGTTAAGATTCAGTACTGACGTTCGATCCACGCGGCCTACTATGTTTCTATATGCAAAACTTAAAAGACATCCCTCGTAACAGTTCCAGTGCCCCTGTATTTAGGCTTCTGCATACGCTTCAGTGCAAAAAACAGCTGTTCGACCCTGGATTTATCTTCGCCTTCCTTTCTAAGATAATCTTAATTATAATAAACTAGTAATGATTCCATTGAAATCGATTTTGTCAACGCATGTAAAACAGTTTGATCTTATTCAATAATGATTGCATCCGCTGTTGATATATAACAGGTTAATGTGTGATGTAATTGTAGGTAATGTAAAAATCTAAAAATTACAGAATTCATTTAGCTGATTATCGAAGGCATACATTAGATTTGAAAATATTGTGATGAATTTCACCAGTCACGATTTTCTGTCTCAGTTTTTGCAGTAGATATGCAAATGCAAATAATTAGGTGTGAATCATAAGCTCATTTGAAAGCTTGCTGTTAAAATCATGTAGGACGTTAAAGTTAGGAATGCAGTGTTAACTCAATAAATTGTAATTTTGAAATTTGTAATAAACACATTTCAGAAATACCGATATAACCTATTTAGCTGTTCCACACTTTACACAAAGGCATTATTTGATAGGTTCTCCACATGATATTGGCAAAAATAGTAAGCAACATTTGAAATTTCTCGAAATGCATCCATTGCGTGCACACATGTATTGATAGAATCTTCCACATGTTGATGTTTTGATAGAACCTATAAAAATTGCTCGATTGTGAATTAAATGCGAAGGGCTGAAACGCGGGGAGATCACCCCGCAACACCTGTACCAGCAGCTAACCAGCTCCGCGCTCCAGCCTCGTCACCGCGACATGCTGTCGGCCATTTTGAAGCTGCACGGCTACGGCCCCACTCCTCCGAGGGGGCTCAGCCCGGTGCCGCCCCCACCGCAGCCTCAACCGCCCCAGCAAACTGCCGCACAGTTGGCATTCCAACAGCAACAACAACAGCAGCTCAGGGTTTCGCCCTTACCGCCAAACGGTGAATTTCATACTCTGTTGATATTTCGTTGTTGCACTTACCGTCGTTGCACCCTCTGTTGTCGTTGCTTTGCTTTTGTATGCCTGTATTTGTACATTGTTAGCAGACTAGCGAAGAAATTCCGGCCGAATACACGTAGCTCTGAGGCGATGATGGTACCTGATGTTGAATGCGTAGAACAACCACATATAGAATCTGTGCCTTAAAAAATAATGCCCCCTGAGAATAATTGGCGCATTTGGTTTATTCATAGCACATATCAAAGTCGTATTCAGAAATAAATAGGGTATCAATATTGTCAGTATTTTTCACATCGTTTGTAGATTTCCATCCCTGGTTATTCCAATTAGCCTCATAAAATGGCCGCGTAACGTGCTGATGTCGCTTTTCTATATGGAGAAAAATGAAAATTACCAACTGTCAAAAGTAAGTGATGTTTTATAAAATATATAAATAAAAGTGCCCTATGTAACGGTGTTATCATATCCACACAATATGTGACATCCAAACCTAAGATTTTTCATTTTCCAACATCGTTGAATGGGACGTGAAAATTCACGTCAGTGGGAGGAATAAAAAAAAGTAGTAACTTAGATCTAACAGCCTCTGTTCGCCTGTCACTTTTCGGGCATTTTACATAACGTCACTTACTTTTTGCCAGAATGACAGTTCTATTTCCCTCCATAAAGAAGTAATATACTAGCGTTTCAAGTAGCCATTGTTCAGTACCATTAAGGGATAATCAAGCCAGTGAATCAGTTTAAATTCAAAAGAAAACAATATTTCAGACATAAAATATGATAACACACTGTAACCGCTAAAAACTTATCCTGTGGTAGTTAAAAATAGATAACAAAGTGATTGTTAAGTAATTTCATTTTTTCACCATACATTAAAAGTCCACCAACCTGTGCGTCAGTCTTCCACGATATCTATCTGGAGATTGAGATGAATATACATTGCACATTTACGTATAATGACGTGCATTTTTTGTTAATCTGAATTCTCATTGACAATAGCCATCCAGTAAAAAATTTATAACAAAAGTGGTCTAAGAAAATCGCTAGAAATTATTTTCAGCTTCCTAAAATAGCCGCGAGGGGGAGTATTTCCAATTCAAAAAATTTAAACCCCATTCTTTTGCATAAATGAGTAATTAACGTACTGATTTATTAACGCTATTATGTTGACTGCCTAATTTTCCAATTTTTTTCTCAATGTCATTTTTCTATACTTTGGGGAATGGTTGAATGTCATTTCGGAAAAAGTAATTTCTGTTGCCTGCGAAACCAAGATCGTGAAAATTGGTGCAGCCAAGCAAAAGGTATATACAGTGAAAGTTCTCCTTGCGGACAGCTCCTATAAGCGGACATCTCCTTTAACCGGACAAAGTTCCTGGAACCGAATTTCAGCCATCAATTTTCAATGTTAAATGCATTCCGATAAACGGACGCTCTTATAAACGGACGCGGACACTAGATTTTCCTGTATGTGATCAAAAAATCTCCCATAAGCGGACGCGAAACTCTAATACCCGGACGATTTTTTAGTTCCGCTTATTGCAATGCACATATCTACATACATAAAATGCGGTAATTCCCCGATTTATATTAGGTGATTCCCCATTTACGCATTTCGTTGGGTAGCCTGTATGTAATCTTGTGGCTTATCTTCAGTTCAGGCAAATTCGTAGTTGATTGAGTTACGTATTTTATTATTGTAACTGTAAAATGGCACCAAAAAAAAGGATGCTCTCGTTAAAGGAAAAGATGGAAGTTGTTAACGTATTAGACAGAGAAAGTGTTTCAGTTCGTCATTTGGCAAAGAGGTTTAATATTGGGAAAACGCAAGCAGCTGAAATTGCCAAAAATAAGGAAGATATCAGGAGTAAATGGCAATCAGGAACTAATATAAATCAAAAGAAGGATTTTTTAAAAAAGGAAGGTTTTGCTATAGACAAAACATGTTTTGAGTGGTTTGTGAAAGCTAGAAGTCAGAACATTCCAATCTCAGGGCCGTTAGTGAAAATGAAAGCTAAAGAAATCGCCACTACTTTGGGCTATAATAATTTCAGTGCGTCCAACGGGTGGCTGCAAAAGTGGCGCAAGAGACATAGTGTGAGTTTCAAATGCATATCTGGCGAAGCTGCTGCAGTAGATCAAGTTGATGTGTCACAATTTTTGGAGAAACTTCCGTCCATGTTGCTTGGCTACAAACCAGAAGATGTGTACAACGCAGATGAGAGTGGACTTTTTTTTCGCGCATTGCCCGACAAAACTCTGTCCTTTAAAGGAGAAACATGTGTGGGTGGAAAGTTGTCTAAAGATAGACTAACCATTTTATTCTGTGCAAATATGGCCGGTGAAAAATGCGATTTGATTGTGATCGGGAAAGCGGCTCGTCCCCGTGCTTTAAAAAACGTTGCTATTAAGGATCTACCAGCGACTTGGAAATCCAACAAAAAGGCATGGATGACCCGAGAAATCATGTCTGAGTGGTTAGTCGAATTCGACCGGAAAATGAGAATACAAAAAAGGCAAGTTCTTTTATTTTTAGACAATGCATGCTCTCATCCTCGTGATATGAAAATGAAAAATGTGAAAATTATATTTTTACCGCCAAACACAACTTCTGTTTGTCAGCCCATGGATCAAGGTGTCATACAGAACTTTAAATTTTATTATCGGCACTTGATTTTAAAACATATTTTAACAAAAATTGACGATGGTCAAAGCTTATCTGAGCTTGCAAAGTCTATCAATGTGATAGAAGCTTTGTATTTTATAAAAACAGCATGGAATAAAGTAAATTCCTCTACAATTAAAAACTGTTTTGGCAAAGCTGGATTCAGAAAAAGTGAATGTAGCTCAGAATTTGCTGAGCAAAATTATTGCGATGCTGAAGACGATCTGCCCTTAGCGACACTTGCTCAGTTACTGCGACATGCCAAACATTTAGGAGTAGCAGATCCCCAGAAAGTAGATGATTTCCTGGCCATAGACAATAACATAACAACAGAAGAAAATGCCATTGGCAACTTTTCGAATTTGGATGTAGAAAGCCCAGGCCAACTTGAATATGGTAGTCCAAACGACTCAGAAGAAGAAGTGGAACTGGTGGACTCACTAAGCGGTTCAAAAACGATAAATTCATATGGGGAAGCTCCAAATCATATTTCTATATTGAAAAAATTTGCTAAAGATGATTTCACTGCATTTCAACATTTGAAAAATTTAGAAAGTTATTACGAAAATTGTCTCCTTCAGCAAAAGATGGTGAAATTTCGTCAGACAAATATTTTAAACTTTTTTCAACAAGCTAAAGAATAATGTTTTTTTTAAATTCTCGTACCATGTATTGAAGCATTTATGTTTTTGTATGCGTATATGTACATATATTATATAGATATATAGCATAAATACATACTTTAAAAATGTGGCGAGTTTCGGTTTCATTTTTCTCATGATTATAATACCTCATTTCCTCATGATTATATACCCCGTTATTTATACTCTATAATTACATACTCTCTTTTAAACGGACACCTCCCATAAGCGGACAAAAGTTGCGGAACCGTGAGTGTCCGCTTATGGGAGCTTTCACTGTATTATTTTTTCTGAAAAAAGTTCGAAAACTAGGCATAATAGAGTAACGAAATCAGTAAGTAAATCACGCACGCTGTAAATAATTCCCAGCAATTTCCCTTGGCCACTTTTTAACGGGTGGCTTTAAGTTAAGCCGTTGCCGAGATATAGCTGGCGTCCTTTATTATTGGGTCACCCGGTACTTCTGAAAGAAGAAATGTTCAAGCGTACGTATCTATCGATACGCAGCTTTAATTTCACGTTGTATGTATGCTTTATGTTCTGTATTGATGTTGCTGCACTTGCCTATGTAGAGATTATGCACCCACCTTTTCTGTCAGATTAATGAATATGAATATATCTGCACTTTAATGCATGATCACACTTCATGTTAATACATCAATTGTAATAACGTTTTTTCGACTTATTTACATGCAGCATATTGCGTGTCTCCGATATTGGCAACTAGTCCCAACACTCTGACAGTGCCTGGTGAGTTCATTGGTAACTCATGTTGGATAAATAATTTATATTATTTTGATTGTGAAGTCTCCAAAACTTACGTTGAAAAAATATACCTGTCTCTAGGAACTGAATTTTTTGGCAGCATTATAGTTTATGACTTTTAAGCGAGACATTACTACTTGTACCAAATTCATTATTCTTTCTGTATTTTGTTGCAGTGTCCACAAAGTATAATCTGCTTGAATTTCACTAAATTTGAATCGTATCGGTCTAAAGATAATGTAACTGTTAAAATATCTTTTACAGCTCTTCATCAGCGTATACCGTCCCCGCGTGAATTGCAAGTTCACACACAGAACATTCTTCAAAGAGCGCTGATCAAGAAAAAACTAGAAGAACAACAAGAAAATTATAGGAAGAAACAAGAATTGCAACAGGTATGGCTTTAGGGTATCATATAATCTGCTGGAAGAGAATGCAACACTTGGAAAGTCATGATTTAAACTCGCGCAGCTGACGATATTTTTGTTTTTTTTTTTAATATAAAGAAGACAAATTGCAAAATGCATATACAGTAATGGACAAAAGTATATAGACAAATATGAATATTTACCTAAATACCTTTAGCCCTACTGCGCGAGGGCCGTGGCAAATGCTTGTTCCGGAAGTCGTTGTATCCAGTATACAACTTCTTCCCGTCCAAGTGATTGCGCACGCGTTAAGGAATACCTCAGTACCGATTGCCGGGTGGCGGTACAAGTCCGCCAACGGGCCACTTTAGGTCTATTTAACATCACTAATACGTAAAAAGAAGGTGGTAGACAAGGACCAGTCGACCGAGGCAGTACCACCCGCTAGCTTTTCCCAGGGTGTCTTATAAATGTCCGCATGTTTCCACACCTAAGCTATGCAGTCGGTTATCTACCAAAACAAAGAAATTAATGATGATGGATCCCTCGAGCACTAAAAACTCCGGACGTAAACTCACTCCACTCTCGGAATGTCCGGGTGGAGGGTGGGCTCGAGGGAACAACATCGAAGATAAAATTTGTTTTTCGAACATCTGCGGGATCAACAGCAACATTGATGCTGTTCATCACTACCTGCAATCCAATCGTCCCGCCGTGCTTTTCTTGGCGGAGACAAAAATCTCAGAGGCTGCACCGATTAACCATCTCAACTTCCCAAAATACGAGGTGCACTCCAATCTGAGAAAAAACGGGGGAGTTGTGGCTTTTGTCCGCAGCGGTCTTTCCTGCTCCAGGGATCTTTCTTTGGAATCAGACCGGAAGGACATTCTGTGGCTTCGCCTCAACTCCAAAACATCACCCAAATTTATTTGCTGCCTTTATCGCTCTCCCTCGAACCATAACTGGGATGACCTACTCGAATACCTCGCCGTCCAGATCGACTTCCTGAACATCAATCACCCCGCTTCAGAGGTAGTTCTTCTCGGTGATTTCAATGCCCATAATGAGCTTTGGTTGGGCTCAAATAAGACCGATGCAGCAGGTCGTGCAGTCGAAGCGTTCGCTCTTACTCAAGGGCTGACCCAGCTGGTGACGAGCCCTACTTTTTTCCCCCGCGTCTCGTCACACGCCAGTAGCCTGCTGGATCTCTTTCTGACCACGCATCCTGCCCCTTACAGCACTGCCGTCCTGTCCCCCCTGGGTAACTCAGATCACGGTGTTGTGGAGGTTAGGTTTCGGTCAGAAGCCGCTGTGGCCGCAGAAACTCGCACAGGCCGCAAAACTTGGCATTACGGACATGCCGACTGGGAGGGGCTCAGAGACTTCTTCTCTAGCTTTCCTTGGAGAGATGTCTGTTTCACTGACGCGGATGCGTCGACTGTCTGTTCTTCAATAACCGAAATTATCCACGTCGGAATGGAGGAATACATCCCTCACACAGTGAAAGTTCCTAAACCAGGGTCCAACGGCTGGTTCAACAAATCGTGTGACACTGCTCGCCAGCAGAAGATCAAGGCCCACAGAACCTACTTACAAAACCCCACTGCAGAGAACAGACAAGCCGACGTCGAGTCCAGAAACAAATATAACGAAGCGGTTCGCAATGCCAAAACCCAGCATGATATAAAAGTTAGGCACAGGGTAATGTCGCAGCGCAATGGCAGTCGGTCTTTCTGGACGCTGGCCAAGCAGATTGAAAAGAACTTCTCACACAGTAGCCTTCCACCACTTACGTGTCAGGATGGAACTATTGTATTCGACTCAAAGGCCAAGGCGGAAGTGCTAGCCAAGATCTTTGCTGCCAACTCCACCATGGACGTCCCCACCAACGCCCAAGTGCCGTCAATTCAAAGGGTTCCCCACACTATGCGGGAGGTAACATTCAGGCATAAGACCGTAAGACGAGTGCTCTTGTCGCTCGACATCAACAAAGCTTCTGGTCCGGACTTGATTCCTGCCATTGTACTGAAGAGATGTGCAGCTGAGCTTGCTCCAGTTCTTTCGCGTCTCTTCCAGATATCTTACGAATCCGGCACCTTCCCAGAAAACTGGAAATTTGCTCATGTACAGCCCATCCCAAAAAAAGGATCTAAAACCGACCCTTACAACTACAGGCCTATAGCTCTGCTTTCTGTTATAAGTAAAGTGATGGAGAGGTGCATAAATCGCGAGCTTCTGGACTACCTCGAACGTCACAGCTTGATTAGCGACAGGCAGTACGGTTTCCGGCACCAACGATCCACAGGGGACCTCCTAGCTTACGTCACGCAACTGTGGAGTAAACTCATCCAGTCTCATGGTGAGGCTCATGTCGTTGCTCTTGACATCACGAAAGCGTTCGATCAGCTGTGGCACGCTGCCCTCTTGAGCAAACTTCCATCCTACGGCCTCCCAGAAAAGCTTTGCAGATGGGTGGCTGACTTTATCTCTGGCCGCAAGATATCCGTCGTAATTGACGGATTCTCCTCTTCATCCCACAACGTCAACGCGGGTGTTCCCCAGGGATCGGTCTTGGCTCCAACACTGTTTCTCTTACATATCAATGACCTCCTTTCCTGCACGATCAACCCAATCCACAGCTTCGCTGATGACAGCACTCTACATGCAGGAATTCAGAGTGACAAGCCGATCTCTGCTGCTGAGCTGGAAAAAAGAAGACTAGCGACGACTTCTTCTCTGACAAGAGACCTGGAGGCTATCACTGCTTGGGGACGCAACAATCTTGTACAGTTCAATGCTTCCAAAACACAGTACTGTACTTTGACGAACAAAAAGCGTCCTAGCGCCCATACAGTTTCGATGGACGGTCGAGTCCTACCAAAGAGCCATTCATTTCGGCTGGTCGGAGTCCAGATCACCGAGGAGCTGATCTGGCATGAACACATCTCTTCAATAGCTGCAGCTGCTGGGAAAAAGCTAGGCTATTTGTTTAGGGCTAAGAAGTACTTTTCTCCGCATGACCTTCTCACTCTATACAAGGCCCAGATAAGGCCTAGCCTCGAGTATTGCTCACACATTTGGGGTGCTGCCGCCCCGACTACATTGTCCATGCTCGATGCTGTCCAGAGGAGGGCGGTCCGACTGATCGATGACTCTTCTCTAACAGACAGTCTCGGGACTCTTTCGCATCGGCGGGCCGTCGGCGATCTAGCTCTTTTCTATCGCTACACCAACGGGCTTTGCTCCTCAGAGCTCTCTTCCATGATGCCGCCGCGCGATGTGCCTGCCAGACAGACCCGCCTGACTTCGGCGTCCCATCCTAGCCGTGTCAAACTTCGTACATCCAGAACTGGCCGATACGACCGCTCCTTTGTCCCGAGGGTGTCTAGATTGTGGAACAAACTACGGGAGGAAGCTTTTCCCAGTTCTACTAACCTTGGGCGGTTCAAAAGTCGTATTAACAAAATTTCTTTGGGATCATCATAGCAGCCGCGGTGTTCCGGCATTTAGGCTTCTGCCTGCGCGGCTGTTTCGATATAAAAAAAAAAAAAAAAAAAAAAAAAAAATAGAAGACGAATTCAAACTTCATTTCTCCATAAACAAATGCGTTATTAGTAGAAAAACTAAATGGAATTAAACGGGGATTCACGAATATAAACCATCTAAATTATTTACAAATAATATAAAAATTATCCATAAAAAGTTTTGAATATAAAAAAAATATTTTGGTATAACATTATATATTATAAATATTGTCAACACCAAAAAAGAAATAATGTTGAAATCATTGATATATTTAGGTCCAAAATTATATCGTACCTTACCAACATATACTAAGTGACATATAAATCCGAACACCCAGTTTAAATGGTTTTATTTTAATAAAATTTTGTATAAGTACTTAATGAAGCATAATAAGTAAATGATAAAAATTTCAAAATGATTGTACTGCTTTAAAGCCCTTTGACCTTTAATAATGTGTGGATGCACCCTGATGTGCTACGTATTCTCCAACGCGCCTAGGCATGCTTCTGATCAGGTGGTCAATGTCCTCCTGTGGTATCTCATTCCAGGCAACCACCAACTCCTCTCGAAGTGCTTCTAGAGTCTGAGGAGGACGTTGCAAATTGAGCAATCTCTTACCCATCATATCCCACACGTGCTCAATTGGGGATAAGTCGGGAGATCTTGGTGGCCATGGTAACAATGTGACATCATTATGTTGAAAGAAGTCTATTGTGACTTTTGCAACATGTGGTCGGGCATTATCTTGTTGGAAAGTTGGATCTGCCAGGGTGTCAAGATAGGGTAAAAGATGGGGTTCTAGAACTTCGTGGATATAACGCTGCGCGTTCATGTTACCTCTGATGAAGATTAAAGGTGACCTGGAACCATAAGCTATAGCACCCCAAACCATAACTCCAACAGTGTGATGAACATGTCTTCCAACAAAAAACTGTGGATTCCTCCTTTCACCACATCGCCTTCTAACCCTGGCACGACCATCGTGCATGCCTAAACAAAATCGAGACTCGTCACTAAAGACAATACTGTTCCATTCCTGATCCCAGAGTGACCGTTGTCTGCACCACTCAAGGCGATTACGTCGGTGTTCTCGAGTTAAAGGGAGGACCCAGTGTGGCCGGTATGAAAACAAGCCAAAACTTCTCATTCATCGGTAAACACTTCGCATGCCAATAGGTCTTCCGTGTTCTGCAAACCATTCATTTGCAATGGACCTGGTAGTGGAGAAACGGTCACTTAAGGCCAATAATCTTAGGCGGCGATCTTCACGGTCTGTTGTTCTACGGCGGCGTCCAGTGCCCCTTGCTCTTTGCGTACGGCCTTCTCGAAGCCATGCCTGACAACACCTAACCACAGTCTCTACACTTCTTTGCACTCTAACTGCAATTGCCCGAAAAGAAAGTCCAGCTTCCCGAAGTCCCACTATACGGCCCCTATCAAACTCACTAAGTTGACGAAATCGTACAGGTCTCCGTACTCTAGGCATCGTAACCGATCGTAAAGGATGTCAAGAACCAAAATCCGCCAACGTTGATTCTTTACTGCGGCTGAAATATTCATTTTTAGAGCGTTAGTGAATTAAAAAAAAGCAGTATAAAAACCGGAATGTCCAACTGATAAGGCTGAAAATTTTTTCACTTGTTATTTACAGTAAGATAAATACATTCACCAACTTTCATTAAAATAAAACCATTTAAACTGGATGTTCGGATTTATATGTCACTTAGTATATATAAGAAAAAACCGAATATCATTATCACAAATGGATTAATATGAGTGTCTATTGAATACTGATATAAGCATAATGTAATTTATGAAAACTCTAACATAAATCTATTTCGCATTACTAATCTTTGATACAAATTTAATGTATTACATTTATATTATATAGATTTTTTCTAGTCCTTATCAATCAATTTATTGTAGCTTCTGTGTTATATGCGTTGGAATGATATCCACACAAGAAATTTATAAAAAATGAAATCTTCAATAACTACTGTATTACGTATCATAGATTATATAAACAAGCTTTAGGTTGAGCAAAAAAATATTTATTGTAAACAAAAAACAATAAGCTCAAGAAATAAAACCAATGAGGCATAAATGAATTAAGAGGCATGTACTAAATCATTATTATTACCGCACAATAACAGAAAAACTAGAAGATACTATACAAAGTACTGCTGATCCTTTAACAAACCTAAACCATATAAATATAGATCACGAATTTTTATGTTATCCTAGTTTATCAGGATATTTAGGAAAAACCGATTTGTTTAAAAAAGTTTTATCTTCAAAATGAAACATTTCTGGACTTATGTTTATATAAACGTTTCATCTTAAAATCACCTGCTGAAGTTTGACCACATACGCAAATAACACCCTGTATATTGTCATCTCACATTTGTGATTGAAACGTTTAGAGTAAAGAAGGATTTAATAGATGAGGTTTCATTGGCCAGACAAGCATGGCGATTATCGACATATAACCAACCACAAGATAAGTTTTAGATGTTATATTGTTTATTGAAAATTCCAGCAACGTGAACGAGGCTCAAGTCCAGCTATTAGCCCCGCTTCTGGTGTGAACAACGTCCAATCATCAAGCGCCGGTTCGAGCAACAAAGGCATCGGATCTCCTACACCTTTGGCATTCACGCCTACATCCGTACTACGTAAAATGACTGCTGATAAGGATGACGCTAAAGAGGTATGTAACACTTGTGTTTCATGGGCTATTCGAGCATTTCATGAATTGGTCGCATTTCATGAAATGGCCAACTAAATTTGACTGTTAAATCGTCAAGGTTTAATTGTTTGGTTATCCAAGATTGATCAAATCGTGAAATAGAGTGTGCACAAGATATATAATAAAAATCTGTTTTTTATTTAAATCGTATATTTTCAATTACGTATCAATACACACTGCAGGAAAACATAACAAGAAATTTCGTCAAATACAATCTGTAGTAAATAACTGAACATTATAACACCCTTAACACAAATAACAATTATTTTTTAAACACATTTTAGTAGTCATTATAATGGGTGATTTTTTTGCTATTATCTTTTTGGCAACACTGTTTTCGACAGATGACGCGTGAAACGTGTCTTGTGTCATTGTCAAACTTGTTCAGTTTGGTCTATAATTTAACCATGAATCGACTTACGAACGAACAACGCTTGCAAATTATTGAATTTTACTATCAAAATTCATGCTCGGTTAAGAGAGTGCATCGAGCACTGCTTCCAATTTATGGGCAACTTGGTCGGCCTACTGAGTGAGCTATTCGGAAGCTTGTGACTAAATTTCGAACCCAGTTTACATTATTGGACATTAAACCACCAACACGCAGACGTAGAGTGAGGACTGAAGAAAATATTGCGGCTGTATCCGCCAGTGTTAGTGATGACCGTGAAATGTCGATTCGCCGCCGTTCGCAGCAATTGGGCCTCTGTTACTCCACTACGTGGAAAATTTTGCGACAGGATTTGAGTGTAAAACCTTATAAGATACAGCTGGTGCTAGAATTGAAGCCACACGACCTCCCACAACGTTTCCAATTTGGTGAATGGGCGCTGGCAAAGTTGGAGGAAGATCCACATTTTGATCGAAAAATTGTGTTCAGCGACGAAGCTCATTTCTGGTTGAATGGGTACGTTAACAAGCAAAATTGCCGCATCTGGAGTGAAGACCAGCCAGAAGCATTGCAAGAGCTACCAATGCATCCCGAAAAAACACTGTTTGGTGTGGATTATGGGCCGGTGGCATCATCGGGCCGTACTTCTTCAAAGACGACAATGGCCGGAACGTAACTGTGAATGGCGAGCGCTACCGTGCGATGATAACAAACTTTTTTTTGCCCAAAATGGAAGAGCTGGACTTGGCTGACATGTGGTTTCAACAAGACGGTGCCACATGCCACACCGCACACGAAACAATCGCCCCATTGAGAGGCGAGTTCGGTGAACAGTTTATCTCACGTTTGGGGCCCGTCAATTGGCCGCCTAGATCGTGTGATTTAACACCGTTGGACTATTTCTTGTGGGGCCATGTTAAGGCTAATGTCTACAGGGATAAACCAGCAAAGATTAACGCACTGGAAGCCAATATTGAAGTATTTATTCGTGAGATACCGGCCGATATGTTGGAGAGAGTGTGCCAAAATTGGACCTTGCGCATGGGCCATCTAAAGCGGAGCCGCAGCCAACATTTACATGAAATAATCTTTAAACATTAAATTATATCCGTTCTATCGACTCAAATACAGATTTAATCGTTTTTTCAAATTTTTTGTGTTTTTTTTTTGAATATCAAATCCTATACCTCTTAAAAAATCACCCGTTACAAATCAATTATGTTAAGTGATGCAGTTATTCTATCTATCAACTCATGTATTCCTCAATACTGTATGGTTCCAAGTCTATGAAACTCTTTTAGCTTCCTTTTAAATATATTTTCATTCGTGACGATTAGTTAGTGTTATCCAATTTGTCGTAAAGTTTAATTCCGATGTAGTAGGGACCCTTCACGTACAAGGTTAATATGTGTTTGGGGAAGAGATATTTGTTCGAGTATAAATATGACTAGTGATTTAAAACATAGTTTCATAGATGCGTACATTGTTAATATTTAAAGGCATGTTATACGAGGTTTGTTCGTTTCCACTGTTGATACGATCGCTGAAAGTGTTTAATTGTGAGGCTCTTCATTTGCCGTGTCGTTTCTGCCTTGATGGATTCCACATCCCCCAAGTGCCGCCCCCGAAGCACTATTTTTCATTTTGGGAACAGGAAGGGGCTAAATCGGGTGAATAAGGCGGGCGTTCTGTCACGGTGATTGAGATTCGGGTCGAAAACTCACCCGCAACGATAGATAGTGTGAGCAGGCGCGTTGTCGTGATGAAGGATCCACCTGCCCCCTTGTGCCGAATCCGGTCGAACTCGGGAAACACGACGGACAAATTCCTGGTGAACAATGCCCCGAGAATAAAAAAAGGCAATCAATATTTTTTCGACTTTTTTGTTCTCGGTTCCCCTGCTTGCTTCCATTCTATGCTTTGAGATTTCAGCTCCACATAGAATTCGTAGAACCAAGACTCGTCTCCAGTGATGACCCGGTTGAGAAAGTCCAATCTTTTGCGCACAATTTTTTGTTTTCTGTCAGAATTTCGAGGACGATTGTTTTGGAGATTGACAGTTCCTCAGCTATCATTCTAACTGTCAATCTACGGTCTTTAAGAATTCAGCCTTGAATTCGTTCAATATTTCCGTCAGAGCTCGATGTGTAGGGGCGTACTGAGTGTTGGCCATCTTTCACACATTCAAATGTAAGTAATATTAATGTAATTATTTTGCGATTTGATCAAACATGCTTGACCATTTCATGACGTAACCGCATCGTAAAAATTAGGTTTTACGATCTGTTATGAGAACTACCTTAACAGGAAATTTATCACACCTAGAACATAAGGAATTTTCTAATTTCAATAGCTCGAACACTGAATTAGTTCTAAGCATTTTTTATTTGGGACAGGAAAAAACAGTGAACAAAAAAATCCTTATTCAAAGGGAAAAAGAACAAACAAAACAACATTAATGGTAACTGCTTAAAAATTACTTAACGTTGGCCCACTTCAATATTTGTACCAAAATATGCCTTTATAAACTAAACGTGACGAAACTATTTACTTCTAAAACAATTTATTTTCTCAAAAACATTTTAGATACACTCTAGTCGTAAAAAATACATATTTGAAATCACTTGGACCTATAACTAATAGAACATCTGAACAAATAAACAATGTGCGAATAAATGCGCGAAGTTAACAAAGCAACAATTGAAAACTCACCTTGCAAGTGCTAAATCCCAGTTTGTGGGCCTCTCTATGAGTTGTGGACCTCGAAATTCTCCTTCCAACAGCGTCACTCCACAGAGCACTTAATCGTACATGATTGACACGCCTGTTTTTCACGATTATTCTTCTTAATGTTCTTCGGTCGGCATTTGTGATATTACTTTTTTTCACATATCGTGGCTTAATATTAACTGAACCAGTTACGTTATATCTTGTAACAATATTTCTCACACTGTACCGCGATAAGTTTAACAACGTTGCAATTTCTGAGTTTGATTTCCCAGAATTAAAAAATTTAATTATCGGTAACCGAATTATTTCACTAATAACCTTTCCTCTACCCATTTTGAAAACCTTAATTACCCAAAACTATTTTATTTTTCCACCTATGCGCTATAGACTTATTTTGCATTGAAATTAAAATAGGTTGATATGCTGTAATTGCAACCTGTGTTATTTTTATGCTGCAAATTTGATTAGGAAGTGATAAAGTTGGTGTTTTCTACTATATATTATCAAAAGATTCATTGTTAATATTTCAAACCTATAACACCCTGCTACATTTTTATTATTTGTGTTTGATAAGAAAAAAACTAAGATTTCAATAGTTGGGCCAACTGAAGTGGTAAGGGGCTCGTATATGGGTAACTTATTATTGAATCTTGTTCAGAATTTTAGTGCGCCTAAACAAAATATGGATTTGTATGGAGAAAAATCAGACTAGACCATGTTTATTTGTAAATAGATCGGTAAAAATGGCCAGGAGGCTACACAAGCAGCAGCTGTGGCTGCGGCCATCGCCAAAGCTGGCATGTCTCAAGGCAGGGCAGTCACGGGGGCGAGGCCCGCAACTCAGCAGCAAGTACAACAGCAACCGCAGTGGGGCGGTATGCAGTTCGGTGGGAGCGTTAAGCAGCCAGGTAAGAGTTCACTTCTCATCTAAAGTCCACAGAGTTATTAGTAATGTTCTAGCATCACCCGATTGTGAATTCCTTCAACGCGCATGCGTTGTCAAAAGACTAGTTTCAAACGTTTTCGGATTTGATTTTGCTAGAACACATATTTTTTCAAAATGCGTTTAAGTTGACAGTGACAGCATCGCATTTGGCATTTAGAAATTTTTCATGTAATTCTGCTTTTTCCTCACTGTTAGGAGATTGAATTAAAGTTCATACTAAGGTTTTACACTTGATTAAACAAACGTCTTATTGTGTAGAATGAACAACTAATCCATACAGTAGCGGACAAAAGTTTGGAAACGTTCTTAGTAATTTTTAAAAAGTGTGCTAATTTTGTATTCTTTATTATTGACTATTTTTTTCTCAGATAGTTTGCTTACAGTCTTGAGGATACAAATGACAATTTGTGTTTGCTGTTGTACTACAGACTAGCATTAAAATGCCTTCAAATTATTTTATGACCAAATTTTTTTTTACAAAAATAAATAGAAATACAATACAAAAAGATTTACAAAATACTGGTAGCATAGCCTTTAGCATTCAACACTGCCTGACATCTGCTGCTCCTAGAAGACACCAGTTTTTTACAGACGACTGTTGGGATATTTTGCAAAATATTTATTACATGATCAAACAAATTGTTCCTATTTTTAAGTTTTTCTTGTAACTTGACTTTTAACATGCTCCTAGAGATGTTCTATAGGGTTTAGGTCCGGGGATTGAGAAGGCCATGTAAGAACATAAAAATGTTTAGTCTTAACCAGTCATTTACGAATTTTGAGGTATGCTTGTGGTCATTATCTTGCTGGAATGTCCATTGTAAAGGACTTTCTTCTTCAGCAAAAGGGAGGATGTATTCACTAAGAATATCTTTGTCAAGTTTGGCACCTGGGCCGGGTTGCTGTTGATCCGTGTTCTTGTCTCTTACTAATAATTTTCGAAATCGTCCCTAATTTTTATTCTTTGAGAAATGTCAACATTTCTGACACCACTTCTAAATAATTCAATCACTTTATCTCTTAAATCTTTTGAAAATTCTTTTACTTTTGCCGTTCTCACTGATGTTAATATTTACCGCACGCAATATCATAGTATCGCAGAACGAATAAATACGCAAAACTGAAATGTTTCCATACTTTTGTCGTTACAGAACTGTGGTATTTAAAAGAACACGTGTTTTTATTTAGATAAAGATAAACCTTGTATTAGTATGGGAGACAAAGGTAGACTTTAATATTTATATTATCTGTTCCCTCGCAGTTTTAATTTAGGTATATGAGATAGTTCAGAGTAATGTTAATATTTGTTTCCAGACTTTTTTCCGCTACTGTATGTAACTTTGTTATGTTGTAGTTTTAAGTTAGCTTCGTCATTAAGATTGATTCTATTCTCCAGACAGTAAGCGTATTTATTTACCTATGTGTGACAGAAATTACTCAACAGTTTTAGTTTTAACTGTCGTTAAGCGCGCATATTGTTCAACAATGTTGACACTGTTGTGTGTGAGACAAATTGCTTGCATAAAGGTACATTTTGTATTGCTATGGGTTGAGTATGAAAAACCTCTTTATTAGCGCATTATGAATCCAAGCTTGATATTGATTGCCGTATTTCGTCACAATATTTTTCTTGAATGATTTAACAGTATTGTTTTTTTTTAGTTGGCCGTCCAATTGTGAAGGCTAATAACAACTACCAGTCGCAGGCATCACAGGAATTCTTCAGTCAGCACCAGCAGCAACAACAACGTATCTTCAATCAAGCAATGCAGGCAGCTGTTGCAGCTCAAACTCAAAATCAACAAAGTAAGTTGCAATATCATCAGGTTTTTTTTGTCATTAATTACCATCTCAGATGCTCAATAAAGAAATTTGCCGAACTTCCACTGTCTCGGTAACAAAATGCTATCGTGAGATTATAAATAATAATTTAAAAGTTAGGAACTAGATTAGTTGACACCTGTTTCCAGATGGTAGTTTTTCAGCCACGTGGTAAAATATTTTCACGTCATTTCAAATTTTTCAAGTAACATTATGAACGCTAGTTGACCCTTGGGGTCTTTCCTCTTCAACACTCATGTTCACGTGTTTTTTTCTTTTTATGTCAAAGTGAATAAATCATAACTTTTGAAGATTCAAAGGATAGAAAGATTAAATTTGTTGCAGTGGATGCTGTCCGAAAACAAATAGGCCGTGATCAGTATGGATACCAGTCGTCAAGCCAACAGTTCGTGCAACAGCAACAGCAGTTGACTCAACAACAGCTACGTGCTCAGCATCAACACAGACCAGCCAATCAGCAAACAGCGCAGGTCCAGCAACCACAACAGCAACAAGGCAACGGAAGAGACAACGCCTGGCAGCAGTTCCTCAATTCTAATCAACAGTCACAAGGTATACATATATGTTAGTCTACGGGTATTTCTCAACAAATTTAGAAATTTCATTTTGCATTTCTTGAAAAAAAATAATGAAGATGTATCCTTTTTTTGCAGAAATATAAAGTTTTACTTTAGTGAGGTTCATTGAAAATGGAGGTCCTCCATACTTTTGTGTATAACATGTAGAAAAATGACTTTTAAAAAACTATGAAATGAGGGAATAACCGATGGGGAATGATTTTTACAACAATTTGACGCTGAATTTCAATAAAAAACAAATTAATTTATTAATAGATGTATTGAGATTTGTGCTTTAGAGAGCTTAGATAGTCCTTCTTCGCTAGGCACATCGTCGTATTTTCATCCTTCTCTAAGAAATGAACATCACCCTTAACTTTCAGCATTTTGGAGCTAACGGTACAGTTCTTTTTGTACGTTTTTGAAAAATGTTTCGATCTATATAGCAATTTGTATCTTTTGTACTTATCTGCAGCTTCAAGATTTTGTAATATTTTTTTCTCTTCTCCATGTTTTCTTCCAAGATCTTCATAGATATTCTTGAGGTCCGTTGACAGTGCTTCTCCGAAAATGAGTCTTTTTCTTTCAACGTCAGGAACTTGTATATTCTTTAAAAGCGAAGACACTTTAGTTGCTGGAGAGTTTGGGTCAGTATTTTTAGTTTTCAATCTCGAACACCTCTTCTTATATTTTTCGCTAAGCTTGACTGCGTACCTTACTTTATTTTCCAAACTTTTAATCTTCGCGTACAGAATAGTTCGCCGCTTGCGCATTCTACGTCTATTGAGAGCAGATACATTCTCTGCTCTGTGCTGTAAAGATGGTGCAGGACTTGATGGGGGTGTTTCTTCAACTATTCTCTGTAAATTTGTTTGTAATGTAGCTCGCTTTTCCCTATAAACTTTACTATTCTTTTTCCATTGTTTTCGTTTTTGGCTAGCTTCTCTTCCACTCAGAACTTGACTTTTAATCTTTCTTTTTCACGTAAAGCTTCTAGAGACTTCTTTTTTAAATTCCTTTCTTCTTCACTTAACTTCTTCATGTTCCCCATTCTTGGTATATGGAAAACTCCAGCCCAATTTGTCGGAATTCGACATAAAATTTCCGTTTGATTTCAGCGTCTCGCTCCTCGACAAACAGCACCGTGACGACAAACACGACTACCTCATCCGCGTCAGCGGTGAACAGAAACAGCAACAGCGGTGCCATATCGCCGGCGACTGGCAATCAGCTGGCGCGTTGGTTCTCGCCTGATCTGCTAGAGCGAGCCAGAGGCGGAGAGCTGCCCAGCACTGCAGGCCTGGGCCAGCATGCCATGTCCCTGGAGGAGATTGAAAGGCAGACCGCACCGCCGGTACACAATTAAGCTCTAATCAAATGAAAAAGGTAGGTTTTAGAAAGATACTGTATCAGCAGCACTTTTTTGTTTGTTTTAGATTTATTTAGGATCAATGCTACAATGTCCGTAATATCCATATTACACAGTATACTTTATCTGAAGTCACTTGAAATAGCATAAAAACCTTTGGTCGGCGCGTCCTTTGTAATTTCATGACGTATCATAGGCGTGCGGTCATTTATTTAGAACGATAATAATAATGTTCTTATTTTTTTGATTTTTGATAAAAAATACTTATATTGGGAGTTTAATTTATGTTGACTGAAAGTTAAGAAATGGAAAAATTACAGAATTCCAACGTTTGACATAGGCAAATATTTACATAGCAGGTAGGTATATAAAAAGGTATATAAAGACTTACATTATAGGTATTTATATAGCATCCTCGCCTTCGGAGCTGTCGCTAGAGTCATCTTGTAGAGGAATTACAACGGGATTCACAGGAGGCAAAACACAATATTCGTTTTCTTTTTCAATAATATGCCTAGAACACTGCTTCCATAGGTCTGTGGCAGCAATATGAGATACTGCATCTCTTATTGTGGCCAATAGCGATTCACTTAATTGAGGGGTCTGATTATGTTTTCTTACTTTTTTTTTTAAAGCAGCCCAGACCAACTCAATCGGGTTAAAAATGCAGTAATCGGGAGGTAGACGTAATACTTCATGGCCATTTTGCTGAAGCAGATTGTCAACAACATACTCTTTTTCAAATTTTTGTCTTTTGATAAGATCCAATAATATGGCTTTGGTTGATTTTTGTGGTATTTCCATTCCCTTATCCGAGTCTCGATTTTGTTTAGGCATGCACGATGGTCGTGCCAGGGTTAGAAGGCGACGTGGTGAAAGGAGGAATCTACAGTTTTTTGTTGAAAGACATGTTCATCACACTGTTGGAGTTATGGTTTGGGGTGCTATAGCTTATGGTTCCAGGTCACCTTTAATCTTCATCAGAGGTAACATGAACGCGCAGCGTTATATCCACGAAGTTCTAGAACCCCAACTTTTACCCTATCTTGACACCCTGGCAGATCCAACTTTCCAACAAGATAATGCCCGACCACATGTTGCAAGAGTCACAATAGACTTCTTTCAACATAATGATGTCACATTGTTACCATGGCTACCAAGATCTCCCGACTTATCCCCAATTGAGCACGTGTGGGATATGATGGGTAGGAGATTGCTCAATTTGCAACGTCCTCAGACTCTAGAAGCACTTCGAGAGGAGTTGGTGGTTGCCTGGAATGAGATACCACAGGAGGACATTGACCACCTGATCAGAAGCATGCCTAGCCGCGTTGGAGAATGCGTAGCACATCAGGGTGCATCCACACATTATTAAAGGCAAAAGGCTTTAAAGCGGTGCAATCATTTTGAAATTTTTATCATTTACTTATTATGCTTCATTAAGTACTTATACAAAATTTTATTAAAATAAAACCATTTAAACTGGGTGTTCGGATTTATATGCCACTTAGTATATTTTCTGATATACTGTGTAATATGGATATTGTACCATTAATGCTAAATAAATCTGAAACAAACAAACAAAGTACAAGTTTTGCAATACAGCTTTATTTATTGACTTCGTTCAAAGTAAATTCCACCATATTACATACTTCTCCATCCGCCAAAGCCAGTTCTTAAACCAGCTGTGTCAAGTTTCACCCGCGAGCGCGACACACTTGTTGTCCCAGTGCAAAGTCGCAGGGAGCAAGATCTGGGCGGTAAGGAGGGTGCTCAATAAGATATACTCGGTGCAGGCTTTGGCGTGGTGAGCTGGAGCGCTGTCATGGTGGAGGTACCAAGTGTCCATTCTTGACTTTGGCCGCAGGTTTTTCATAGACTCTATGGCTTCAGGCAGGCACTGTTCCGTATACCATCTAGCTGTGATTATGCTTACTCTATGTATACTAGTTTCGGCTGTTTTTACTTTAGAAATATTTAGTTATCCGGTAGTAGAGCAAGCACGAGTTCTGCATGTACGTATGAAATTGCATTTCTCTTTTTTCTATTTTCAGATGGGATGCGGATTCAACGACATTTGAAACCTATAATCGTAGCAGAAACATAAGAATTACATGTCTCAAGCTATTTATCGTATTAGACTCGTTAATTTACTGGCGGTTTGTTCGACGTCCCTCATATTGTAAATAAAACTTAGAACCATTGATGATTCGCAAGTTGTGATTGGGTTGATATGGACGTTGATGTGAGCTGCCTCAAACTATATGAACGAAAAATAAAATTCATCGTACAAGTCTATCAAAATTAATATGATCTGCCGAGAACAAGGAGAATATGTGGTGTTTTTTATTTCATTTTACATAAATGATTATACCGGGATTTGAAAATGGCAATTCACTTTTTTCTACACTGTCTAACCCAGTTGATTACAAATTTTAGGACAAATTTTTATGAAATTTAAATGACTGTCTGAATCAAAGTTGTTTTCAAATGTGCGGCTACAATTTATCTTAAAACAAACATGTCGAAATATTGCCTGTAAATCAGCACACAATTTTGTAAAAATATAATTGTACGCACTGATTCACAACAAACGGCCCTGCTGGGTCTGAAGGCAGTGTAGAAAAAAACCTCTGCTAGATAAAGTAAACCCGCATATACACCTCCTTCTTCCAAACTTGTATATATTGAATCAATGGAATTATATCTTCGAAAAATGGTACCATTACCCTCCTTAGTAGTAGGAAAAATATTGTGCTTGTGATACAAATGAAGTCTGTTGTCTTTCAGATTCTAGTAGGGTTTATTCAGAAGCTACTTTTCAGTTTTAGTGGAAAACTTATTTATTTTTTCGTTTTGGTGTGGAGAATATCATTTTCCGTTCAGATTTTGGTGTTTAGAATTATATAATACGTACGGGTAGTGGTAGTCATTTTACTCACGAGGAAAAAGAACATATGTGGTCTTGTTCGGAAAGGTGGCAGTGTTAGTGTCCAAGAAAAATGAGATTTCATCGCAAAACATTCATCTCCGTTTTATTGCTACTCTTGACAAAAATTATTACAAGCATATTTATGTGAATTTTTCATGTAGCCGATCGATTGGTAATTAATTGATGAACTATGATGCTAGTTTGCAAGAAGTACAGGGTTTTTCATTAAGGGTGTCGAAATTTAAAATTGAGTAAACACATTCAATACCATGACGTTGTAAAAATTACATCATTCAAATGGCTTCGTTTACAGGACTCGATCCGAGAGGTCCAATTTTGTAAAACTGCTGCATAAGTCAGGATGGATGTTGTTCCCCAGTTGGTGAATTGTTGTTGGTTTGTTACGAAAAACCAGTGACTTAACGTAACTCCAGAGAAAAAAGTCTAAGGGTGTTAAGTCGCACGACCTTGGCGGCCATTCCATATCGCCTCTTCTGGAAATAACGTGTCCTGGAAACATTTCTTGCAACAACTGCAATGTTGTGTGACACGTTGCGCCGTCTTATTGGAACCACATGTCGTTCAGGTCCATATCATCAAATTGAGACCATAAAAAGTCAGTTATCATGACCCGTTACCGGGCGCCGTTGACAGTCAGCGTCTCGCCATTCTCGTTTCGGAAGATGTACGGTCCAATGACGCCGCCTGACCAAAACCCACACCAAACAGTAAGTTTTTCCGGATGCGATGGAGACTCTTCATACTGTTGTGGATTACTGTCTCCCCAAACGCGACAATTTTGCTTATTCACGAAGCCGTTTAACCAAAAAGGTGCTTCATCACTGGAAATGATTTTATTACCAAAATCTGGATCCGCTCCCAACTGTTCCAGAGCCCAATCAGCGAAAGTACGACACGCTTGCTGGTAGCGGACAGGACAGTTGCTTGTGCACGACGCGGAATCGAAAGGTTTGGGACTTCAGCAACCGAACCGTCTTGCTCGAATTTGGCGATAATTAGTTGAATTGAAGCTTAACGAATAGCACACGAGTTTTTATGATAGATTTTATCAATTGCATCGCGTTTGCACAGTGTAGCGTTTCATGGTAAAATGGTGACTATGACAGAACACAGTCATCGAGGAATGATGTCCGTGCCACCTGAAACCTCAGAGCAAGTTGTTGCCAAATTTCGGAGCTATTGAAAAACCCTTTGTTTTAGACTTCTTGATAACATCAAGTCTTTTTAATTCAAGCTCTGCGATAAAATTCTCATTAATCTGTATAACTGACTTCTTTCCAACGAGGACTCATTTGAACTATATGAAAAGAGGCTATATAACAATATTGTAAACTACCGGAACTGAATTTTTAACGTTGTGTTCTATATTGTATTTTTTTATTTGAGACAGGAAAGATATGTGTAAACTGTTTTTATGATGTGTTATCGTCATCTATTTACATTCCTCATTTTCTTGAAGATTCCATCGTACATAAGAACGTCGATAGGGCAGTAAGTACATTATATTGTAGACAAGGTATGCTTAGACTAGTAAATGCGAATTCATTGATATTGTTTCTGTTTTTCTATCCATTGGGTAGGTGATGAAATGTGATGTTTCAGAATGGAAGGAATGGTGTGCTGAATAAATTGATACCCTATACTATACGTAACAGAAGAAGGGGCACATGAAGAGCATTTAGTTGAGGTGGTATCTTCGAATCTGCACGTTGCCATGACAAAAATTGTTTGAAACAATTTTTTAAACGAATTTCAAAAATCGCTCCTGTCAAAGTGTTTTTAGGCTTTTTAGGACATTCTGAATAAAAAATAAATTATAGTTCTCGAACTACCATATAAGCGATCCAGTATTTGTAACTTTCCACATTTTCGACTCCGAAAAACTATGAAAAGCTCCTAAATATTTCTCGAGCGTCCATTAACAAGATCCCAAAGCATATGCCATCAACTTTAGAGTAAAGATGTAAAGTGTCTTTTGACCAGAGCGAAAACAATTTTTGGAATTTGTTTAAAAAAATTCGAATGAGAATATTTTTCCGACCAGATGCGAAGATACTCCCTGGACTAGTTCTTCAGTCTACCACACACGCACAAACGGAGTTGTATGAACACTATTAGTGGTGGAAAATATATAAAAATATCCAGTAAACGAATATAAATAAATAAACCATTCTAGGAACCAAGAAAATAGTTTATATTTTTTGAGGAAATTCTTGACTGTAGCCATGAAAAACAAGCCTTTATAACCTTTCATGTAAAATCAAGCAATATCAATTGTTATTGAGTGAACACAAAGGAGTTACTTGGGTATTAACAAAACTGATAAAGAAAATCGAGGCAACAAAATATGTGCTCATACTCTATAAATTTATGGACATTTCCACAAACATTTTAACAATTGAGTCATGAGGTATATCAACATAAAACATAAAGTAAGACGATAACGTAAAGTTTGCTTCAATGTTATTGCCCAAACCTTATCTACTAAAACTGAGATTAACAAAAAAACTATTGGGTTTTTTATGGCATGGTTATGGATAAGGGATGCAGTCAGTAATTGGATTAAGAAAACTTCCACTATTTTTACAATTATCACAGAAGAAAGATCCTTCTTTATTTCAGTGTATTACAGGAAGAAAAATCATATGACATATCTTAAAATAGCTGACATTCAGGCTAGCTAGTTTGCGAGTATTCAGTTTAGTTTTGGTATCAAAATTGAATACCACCCAATTTATTCATGTTTACTAGCGATTTGTTCGACTGTTGTAGTTATATTAAACATACCGACGTCTTTTCATACTGCCCTGCATGAGAGATCACACCGTGTGACTTTTATTTCGCTTGGCATAAGCTTTTTCCATGCAGTGCCAACTTTATCCTATCATTTTTCATGTACTCTGTAATAGTAAGAGTGATCTCAGTTTCATCGAAATTAAAGTGAAAAAAAAAAATGATAAATGAAATTGTTGATGCTGTTGTCATCTGTAAAAAAACTTATGTAAATAAGATGAAATGTCATGTTATTATTAAACTCTTTTGTTTCTGAGACTCAATAAACGAGAAGGAATACTATTGATATGCTGTTTTACTATTACCAGACACGTCGTTTTTATTTATTTTTTTACCCTGTAACAGGAGTTACATTAGGTGGAGTTCCAGTCAGGATAGGTTCCAATGTGATTGAAATAATTATTATAATTTAAAAAGGAGCATTTTATTGTTAAATAATAAAATTTGTATTTTTACTTCCCACGATAATTAGCGAGAAAGGGGCCGTAAGTATTACGTGAGCACTAGGGGGGGGGGGGGCGGGGGGTGGTCTTTGCTTTGCTTATTTTGGATGACATGAGGGGTAGGGGAGTCTAGATGATGATTACGTCATCGGTAGTTATTTACTTTTTTACACGAACGGCAACCCTCACATTGATTTTGCTTGAAAACGAAACGCATTTTCGGGGATTCCCGCAAATAATGCATACGTATAGTGAACAGCGCGCGGTAATTCCCCTACTCGCTTTAGAACTTTTTTACACGAATGGCAACCCTCAAATTGATTTTGCTTGAAAACGAAACGCATTTTCGGGGATTCCCGCAAATAATGCATACGTTTTGTGAACCGCGCGCGGTAATTCCCCTACTCGCTTTAGAACCGAGTACGGGAATTACTGCGCGGTGTTCACTTGTCAAAATTTTCTGTATCAGTGTATTGTTTCGTTTGGATACTATAGCGAGTAGACGTATTGTAAGCACAGTAAAGCAAGTTAACATTTGTGTTACCATTGATTCCATTAGCCAAAGTTTAATGCTTAAATAAGATGTCGTTTCACATAGACAAATCCAAGTTATACCACAAATTGTTGGAAAGTTTTAAAACATCTCATACAAGTACGAAAGTACAAAATGTACAAAAGTTAGTTAACGAAGTGTGGCGAAATTACAAATTACAAGCAAAATCCGACAAGAAACTAGATATTATTGTATCTAAGAGAATCGAAGAAGAATTGCAAGCGGCGACTAAGAATAAATCCAATCTACTAAATTTTTTTTCTAAGGTGAGTGACGAAATCATTTTAGCTACCTATGAGTACTAGAAATATTAGAAATCGCCAAAAAGTTTCTCTTTACTGATTAGAAAATATTATGGCGTATCTCAAAGTATAGAGGTAATATTCATTATATTATAGATTTATTTCTTATGATTGATTCCGTCAATTGGTCACAAAGTACAGGATGTTACTTTTATACATATATACAGGAAACTAACACCCTGTATTTTGTGACCGGAACGAATTGCTCGTTTATACATATTAGATTTAAAGCCATAGGGTTTTGTATTTACCATATATATTGCCATACTTTGTATTTATGTAGCTTAATAAGAGAATCTTTAGCAGAAGCCAAAGAATTTTTTTTTTTTTTGTGAACCTGTAAACCTGCAGAAAAAACAAATTATACAGTCAGTCAGCTTCAAATATTAAAAAAGAGGAAGAAGATAAAATAAAGCCCGGTAATGAATCACAACAGCAATGCGAAATTAATGAAAATACAGATAAACAGAGAGCAAAACCTTCTCAGGAAGCTATGAAAAATAAGATTGCTCTACTCGAAAAAAATCTGAATGCTTTGTATTCTGCTAGAGATACTATGCCAAGCCGTGCTGAAGTTGATAAACAGATCATTAAGTTGCGCGAGGAAATAAAAACAGCAAAACAGTCTTTAAATAGGAGGGTTCAAAACTCAGTTGTCCAGAAGAAACACAGGGATGGTATGAAAAGAAAGTTAGAAGATATTTGTCATGAAAATCCAGAAATAAAAAAATACTATCTCTGAGGGATTCAGTGGGACATCCTAATCTTGAAAGCAATCAACATTCACTATTGAAAACAATCGCGGATATAGCTTTATTTGGGAGTGCAGCAGATTATAGAAGACGAACGGAATCAATTCGCAGCGTAAAAACTCTTGATGAACTCACACAAGAATTACGTAAAATAGGATTTGACATTATTCGCAGTGGGACATATCTTCGTTTGATTTCCAGAAAATCTAATTCTGCAGAGGGACGAAGACATGTATCGACAGTCCCTGTTAACACGTTCACTGCGAAAGACGCTGATCCGCGTCCGACCGATGTTTAACGAAAGGCGGCGGGCGCGGATCCGCGCTTCTGGCTGATATAAACTCACAAGACTGTGGTGTTGTCAGTTTGTACCGCACTCGCTTTCTGTTTGGTCACCTGCATATTGAACATCTTTTTGGACTATTATACGCGTAGGATCAAGTTTCGTTTATTTTTACATTGCGCAATGGCGGATGATGTGGAAGCAGGTTGTTCACGTCCAAAACGAGTGAAAACGTATTGTAACCGTAATAAAGGACTTACAGAAAAAGAACTGTATGATATTCTTGACAATTCGGGGAGTGAAATCGAGAATCTAAGTGACTCAGACAATTATGTTCCCAGTTCAGATGGAAGTGAGCAGTCTGATGGAAATATGTCTGAAACGAGTGATGATTTTTCCAGCCCACAGAAAAATCTTTAATAGGGTTTCAAGACATGTTTCGTGTTACTGCACGAAAAAAAACGAGATAGAAGAAGAAAATGTATATATGAAATAGTTTTCAATTACACAACGCACATCCAATAGGCTTACGACGCGAATCCGCGCTTCGCTTGTGCAGCGCCTAAAATCGTTTAGCCGCTACCGTGCGCGCGGCGCGAGGCAGGTCGCAGCGAACGTGTTAAGCTCATGCGAGCTCAAACTGATCACCACAAGAGCCACTTAGATAGCAAGTTCGCTGAAACATCAATCCATTATTTAGAGGAGAACATAGCATCCATACTTGGACCAGATCAAGTATTTTTCATATCTCAAGATGATAAAGCTCGAGTCCCTATTGGCGTAACTGTGTCAAACAAGCAAGCACCTCTTCTAATGCACATGGAATATAGAATCAAATTGCCTGATCACGATTGGGTAATCGCTGAGCGTCATAAATTAATACCATCTGCTTATTCTGGTATCAAAATCACTTCCAATATGCTAGGACAACCGCAAGCCGTTGGATATTCTGGACCAACATACATCGCTATTCGAAGTGGAAAGCATAGTTCATCTACTGCTAATACTCATGCTCAGGATTTCCAGATGCTTCTCGAACTTGAAGAGTTTCGACCATTAGCCAAAACTGACCATGGACTAGTAAAACCAGTGGTAATCACGACGGTTGATGGAGGGCCAGATGAAAATCCACGTTATCAAAAAGTCATAGGGTTTGCTATACAACACTTTAAACAACATGATCTCGATGCATTGTTTTTAGCTACCAATGATCCTGGAAAAAGTGCTTAAAACAGAGTAGAGCGCAGAATGGCTTCTCTTAGTCGGAAACTGGCTGGTTTAATATTGCCCCATGACCATTTTGGGTCTCATTTGGATGAACGTGGCGTTACAATTGATGAACATTTAGAAAGATTAATTTCGAATTTGCAGGAAATGAATTAGCTGAAGTATGGAGTTCAATGGAAATTGATGGCTATAATCTTCCTGATTTTCCAGACATTAAATGGTATTCAGGACATGTGCGTGAGAGCCAATACTTGCCTCAGATTGTAAAATGTAGAAATACAGAATGCTGTCATCCAAGAAGTGGCCTATTTAGATTACTAGACAATAGGTTTCTTCCACCACATGTAAAAGTAAAACAAACAGTTTATGACTTGGTTTTGGACGAAGGAGGGCAATTTCTTAATCTTCCAGTCAATTTAGCTGTACGCTTAAGTGCTTCACTCAAAGATTTCCTGCAAATGCCCTACGATTATTTTTGTCCGAGGGTAAAATTGAGGCTATCAAGTCGAACATGCAAAACGTGTGGTCATTATCATGCTTCCGTCAAGTTACTAAATCGTCACGTCGAAAATATCCATAAAAAAGTAAACACGCACACTGATAGGAAAGTTAGACCTGTATGAGTCGCTGCTCGTCGTGCTAATGAACTGATGTGCATTATTCAAAATTTAGAGCACCATGATGTTGAATGGCTCGATGAGAACGACGTAGACATTCCAAAATCCGATGAAAGCGAGCAAACTCACAACACTGAGCAGCAATCGAAGCTATCCAATGTCATCGAAAACTTAGAATCATGGATTCGGGTTTCATGGACTGAAGACTTAATTTGAATTTAATATATGTACCAAAAATTTAAAATAAGTTTGTTATGTAAGTAAGATATAATATTTTTGTCCTTTACTATATGTTGTCTCATAAATATTTTCTTATTTTATGCCATAAATAAAAATACTTAGAATATTTTTACAAAGATAAATTTATTACCAAACGAAAGCCTAAACATTAATTTTATTTATGGAAAAGAGTATCGGATAAATGAGCACCGTTCATGTTTTCACACTCTCTTAATCTCGAACTGAAGTTTTCGATCACTCTCCGAAGCATTGCTCGAGGAATGGCGTTTATTTCATCTGTTATTTTTTGCTTCAACTCTCTCAAATCTTGTGGCGGTGGGGTGTATACCTTACTCTTCAGGTATCCCCATAAGAAAAAATCTGCTGGTGTCAAATCGGGACTTCTCGGTGGCCAGTTAATGTCTCCTCTGCGACTGATGACCCTCTCTGGGAATAACTGATGAAGAGCATCCAAGGATTCATTCGTGGCATGAGAAGTCGCTCCATCTTGCTGGAAAAACGTGTTTCTATTGTAGCCACCATGGTTCTGTATAGCTGGAGTTAAAAAAGTCCTAATCATGTGGCAGTAGCGCTCAGATGTTACAGTTTGAGCTTGGCCACGATTGTCTTCAAAAAAATACGGGCCAATGATTCCTTGCCCTGACATAGCAGCCCAGACGATAACTTTAGGCGAGTGTAATGGCGTCTCATGAAGATTTTGCGGGTTCTGCTCGGCCCAATTTCGGCATTTTTGTTTATTAACATGCGCGTTAATGTGAAACTTCGATTCATCAGAAAACCATATGTTGTTGTAACCGTTAAAATGCTCTCTCATTGTTCTACAGAACTCTAATCGATTAGCGGGATCTTGTGGTTTTAATTGTTGTGTAACAACAATCTTGTATGGGTGAAAATGCAAATCCTTGCGAATAATGCAATGAACAGTTGACTTATGCAAAGTTAGAGACGCTCCACGCAGTCTTAATGATTGCCGGGGATCCTCGTTAACGGACTGGCGCACAC